AATCTTGTGTTTGCTAGGCAGGTGCTTATGTCGCCGAGCTATATCCTTGGCCCCAGAATCAATTTTTAAACTCAGAAGTGACATTAGAATATTTGCATTATTGGTTTGATTGTCTAGGTTGTCCCGCCTTTTTGGTTTTGGTCTTGCATCCTGGGAATTGGATCCAGCGCCTTGTGCATTCAGGACAGGTGCTCTACCGCTCAGCCACGTCATCAGTCCTTATTTATTTATTTGGTTGTTTATTTTGAGACAGGGTCTTTTCAAATTACTTAAGCTGGCCTCAAACTCGTGACTCTGCTGCCTCCTCCCCCACAGCTGGGATTATAGGGCGCATCACCGTGCAGGTTTTTGATAGATGACAAGTTTCATACAATTATACTTCAGTGAATTTACAGGGCGATCACTCCAGTCTCCGGCTCTAGTCACTCGTTGCCCAAACCATTAGAAATCTTTCTCTAAGAATAACACAAAGATGCATTTGTAAGACCTGAGTGTGAGTACTCCTGGAGGCGGCAGAGCATTTTGGGGCCGATTGGACGGAGGTTCTGACGGAACAGAACATGGATCGCACACAGGCGTATGCAGGTGGCACAGTGGAAGAAGCTTTAAAAGGTGGTGTGGCAGGAACTGCTTTCAGGGCATGGGCACTGGCAGTGCCAGGAGGAAGGGATGGGGGACCCCAGGGTGGGTGGGGCTTATAGTAAGCGATGCTGTGCTTGGGCGCCGGGTGGTAGCAGGACATTCCCTGACCTCTGACCTGGAGTTCCCAGGGTGCACAGGAGGGCATCCTGGCCAGAGATGCCATTCTTAGCTCACTGCCTGGGTTATTTTTCCCTCTGGACTTAAGGAAGGGAGATGCTGCTTAAAGAAAAACAGCCCACAGTTCTTTGCCGAGGCTCTGTCTGCCTGTGTTATTTCTAAGGATGAAGCAGCCGCACATTGTCTCTGGGGTCATTGACTCACAGCCTATGGGCTTCTGGGCAGCCAGGACCCGTGCATTGGACCAGGACTCTTAGAAGTGCAGGGCTGGGCAGACACCTGGGAGGACTGACGTTACAGTTTAAGTATAAAGACTCAGGTATCTCAAGAGCTGGGTTCCCAGTGCAGCAGTACCAGAGCTGGGGCCAGGAGGTGACTGGATAATCGCCAACCCATCCGCGGATGAATTTGCAGCTCAGTGGCTGGGGCAGGGCCCAGCTGGAGGAAGTAGGCACTGATGCTGTGCTTTGAAGTTTGTGTCTTGCCGCCAACCCATTACTCTCTCTGCCTCTCTCTGTGTTTGCTTTCTGGATGCCTGAAGTAAGCAGCCATCTGCTACCAGGCCCTCACACGGGCCCAAAGGAGTGGAGCCAGTGGACCGCAAAACCTCAGAAACCATGAGGCACAATCCCTGTTTCCTCCTCACAGTTGCTTCCTCAGGGATTTTGTCACAGTGCTGGCAAGCCAACTCTCACGACTGAAGACCCCTGCGGTGCTGGGGCCACGTGTTCCTGCAGACTCCAGGTCACCCCGCAGGGGCTGCCAACAGGGCGCATGGCCAGTATCACAGCACGATGCTGTACATCCGCCTGGGACCTCACTTCCTGTGGGCCGTGGGTCTGGTGAGCGTTGATGAAGCGGTGGTGGGATTTCAGTGGCAGCCTGCAGCAGTCGGGGAGCTGAGGGGTCCTGGGACTTAGTGAAGCAGGTGTGGAATGGGTGCCTGCAGACACAGCACGTCCCGGGGTGACCTGGGGCCGTGGGGGAGTTAACTGATGCTCTTGCAGGCCTGTGTGAGGCTGCCTGGGAGGCTTGTGGCCTGGAACGTGGAGACTCATGGGAGAGGTCACCTGAGGACCTCGGTCATGGTTGGGCTTCATGGTCCACGTGGGAGGTATGCAGCCACAGGTGATAGCATTGTCCCCTAGTCAGCTGAGCTTGTGTCTTTAGTGTGAATGACCTTACATCTCACACCTTTGTCTTAAAGATTTTCTGCAAAGTTTGTTTGATTACCTTTAGCATCAGGATGTTTGTCAGGAAGCATATTAAAAACAAAACAGGTGGCTTTTAAAGTGCTTTTCATCCTGGGAGATTTCATAGTACTGCAAAGCAGGCAGACTAGCACAGAGGGCCTTTGCGTGTCTCCAGCCCACAGCCCTCCAGCTCAGGCCCATGCACCCCATGAACCCCGCTCCCCGGGCTATTTTGAAGAAAATCTTGGACATGCTGTGATCGAATCCCTATGTGTTATATCAGTATGTAGAGGAGGCCTCCTAAAAGGGTCCTGTTATGGACCCTCAGAAGCCATCGGGCCTCACGCCATCTGATGTTCACTCTGGGAATGGTAACACACCGTCTGTGAGGCTGGGGCAGGAAGATCGGAGTTTCATGCCCAGCCTGGGCAACTTAGTGGCTTAGGGAGACCCTGTGTCAAAACAAAACAAAACAGTGCCGGGGGTTTAACTCAGCAGTGTAAGCACCTGCCTGGCCAGTGCAAGGTCATGAGTTTGATCCCTGGTACCAACCCCCCCAAAACAGTCACTGTCAGCTATACAGTTCTTTGACAGAATTTCTTTGAGATCTATTTTGCACCCTTGTTTGAATCCTGCGTCAAAGTTAAGTTGTTAGTTGGTATCTCTTTTGGGGAGTAGCTCTTAAAAGGTTAATTGACATATAATAAATTGTTCATAAAGTATACAATCAGGATAAGGAAATGACCCTCCACCTCCTGTACCCCTGCGGTGTAGCTTGGCATGTGCTTTACCGTGACACACATACACTAGAGAAGCCACTGCTTAGTCATGGCTTCCCTTGGCACTGCTCTGTCCCTCTCCCTTTGAGATTTTTGTGATAGGAGAATGGTGCCTTCCTGGAATGCTCCAGAGCCCAGATAAATTGCTTCGTGTATTCCCACGGTGTGCCCAGCAAGCCCCTGCTCTGTGTGCTCCCTGAGGTGGCGGAAAGCCAGCCACTGGCTGGGGTTTGGGCTTGGTTTCTGGCGAGGTGGCGTTGGTGGGTGGGGCCGGGTGCTGAGCAGCTCAGCAGCTGCTGTGGCCCAGAGCAGTGGTGCCTGGGGCTTGTGGTGGCGATGTGCAGGGTGCCCCTTCATCACTGTGCTGGCATCTCATCATCTCATCTATGACTTGGTGACACAGCGGGATGGGCACTGCCAGGACGAAGGCAGGACATGTCCACTTTTGGGTGTTGGCTTCCTGCCATCGCCCAGTGGTGGCATGTTAACTTCTTTTTTATTAGCTTTATGAACTCGGCCTCAGTGTGTTTGCTGTGTCTCGGTTGCTTGTTGTCTCTGGGTGCCCAGTTGCCTCAGCTTTGCAGTGGGAGCTTTTGGCTTGGCCTCCTTTCTTTGTCTGTTTGGTGCTGTTGTGACATTACCGCAGATTGGGCAGCTTATTGCAGACAGAAACTCACTGACTCATGGTGCTGGTGTCTGTCGAGATCTTTCCCACTTCATGTCCCGTGGTGGGAGGCAGGGGAGGAGTACAGCAGACAGAGCTCCAGGGCAGTGCACAGCTCACCTCTTGTAGGGACCACTTCTTAGGGACGTTTCCTGAGGCCTGGACCCTCTCTGCCCAGTGGTGGCCTCCTAGCACCTTTGCAACAGTTGCAGTGGGGAAGGAGAGGCATTCAGACACAGCCCCTCACCTCCTGAAGGGTAGGACAGACCTGCTGGCTACAGCTGTCTCTTCTTGAAGGAACCCTGGTTTTTGAGCCGCTGCCAGGGGACAAAAGCAAGCTGAGCCACTGTAGATGCGATGCATGGCGTCAGAGAGGAATTAGAAGCCAGCAGTGATTTTCCACCTTGTAGAGGATGCAGACTGGGCCCCAGAGAGTGATGCTGCTTGCACTGGTACCCTCTAACTGTTCCAGGTATGCGGTCCTGTGCTGTTCAGAGAGGTGAAGGAGGGAGAAATACTGGGAGTCCTCAGAGATGAGAGCAGTGCAGGAGCTTAGCCCCAGATGCTGAGGATTGGAAGCCTGCAAACAGCAGCTCTAATTTACCTTCACTCTGTGGACAGCCCCGGGGTGAGCCCCGAGGCAGGGGGCCACGTTCCTGAGCACCTTGTGGCCAGTCCTCTTGCGGGACCTCCACTGCCCCTCACATCTGCGTGATCAGCTGGAACAGGAGCTCGAGGCTAGCAATTAAAAGGACTCAGCTTATTTTCAGAAAAAGTGAAGCCTCTTGGGACGTTGACATTTTGCTTCGGTGTCGTGCCTTTTCTGAGGTACTGCTCTTCTTGTGGGAGAAGTTAATGTGTGTGTTTCAAAACACCGAGCCAAAATGAATCTGAGAAAATTTAAGTTTACTTCGGTTTACCCTTATGCAATCAATGTGTATAGCAGTTTCAAGTCTCTGGAATTGAAAAATTGGCCTCAGGCCTAGGGGTGTAGCTCACGATAGAGCATTTATTTATCTAGCACCCTCAAGGCTCTGGGTTTAATCCCCAGCCAGACACACACAAAATTGGCTTGGAATAAGTGTGAAAATTACTTTGAGATACTTTCCCATTTACTTACAGCTACTACGAGGCTTTGAGCACTTAGAGCCCCTGATGGTAAACACCTCACTGAAACTGATCTGCCTTTGAACTGTTGTGATCTTTTCCTAGATTAATGTCTTATTGTTTTCTCACACAACTGTAGGTAACAACTTTCAAATATAGCTTAACATGATAGTCACTTATGATCTGTTACTCATCAGTTATCTTTACATTAGGAACACTTCCCTCATTTATACTGTTTGAAGTCCTCTGTGTGTTACAATACTGTATGTTTTATTTCTTTAGATGTAATTAAGATCAGTTTCAAAATGGGAAGTAGGTATTATTACTGTTTTTTTTTGTGTGTGTGTGTGCCAGGAATTGAACTCATGACCTTGTGCTTGCCAGACAGGTGCTGTGCCTCTGAGCCATATCCCCGGCCCATTAAGTGGGTATTTAAAAATGGGTTTTCAGCCGTGTTTATTCTGGGAGCTAAGCATGCCACAATGTTTCTCTCTTTAGAACTCTAGAGTCTACTGGATTTTTATCAAGAAAAAGATCACAGCTTGAAGTCGCCTCTGCTGCTGAAGTGGATGAGATGCAATGATCCAGTAGGAAGGCCACGCACGGGCAGCAGCAGAGCCTGGCCGCCGAAGCATGAACGGGGAGGAAGAATTCTTTGATGCCGTCACAGGTGAGTTGAAAGCCAGGATGACCCAGAGGCTGCAGTGTGTGTGGGAGTCTGCAGGGTCTGGAGGGCGGGCTTGGCCGAGATGTGGCCCAGCTCAGCAAAACAAGGCCAGGGAGGGTGTGTTACATAAGGCCCAACCCCAGCCCTGTGGGGAGAATGCAGTGACCTTGTCGAGTGGGGGAACCTTGACGTTGGCTCTCGGAAGACAGTTCGAAGGGGCCGTAAAATCTGAAGTTTTCAGAAGAGCCTTCTGGGGGTGGTTTTATCTGGATCCTCCAAGAAGTGATCTTACTTGAATAAGATGGCCCGTGTTCTTCTGTCACTTAATGATCAAAATTACTGGTTTTGCGGGGGGGGGGTGGGGGGGGTGGTCCATGCCTGTAATCCTAGCACTGTAGAGGTGGAGACAGGAGGATTGCTGCAAGTTCAAGGCCAGCGTGAGCTGCATAGCTGAACTCAAAAACCAAAACCAAGAAAACCAACCCCCACGTCACTGGTCTCATGACTGTGCCTCGGGTTTTACTGCTCACAGTCACTGGGAGACAGCTGACTTCTTTCGCGGGGCTCTTCCTGCCTTAAAGTTCAGCCGCTTTTCCCTTTCGGGAAGACATTTCAGAGAGCTGCGTGTGTGAGCCTGGTGGAGGTGAGGCTCGCACACGTGTGGGCTGTGGGCTGAGGGGGCGGAGCAGCGTGTGTGCTGAACGGCCTGCGTCTTTGCCACCCGTCACTCCTGCCACCAGGAGAGCAGAGCTGCTCCGGCCACCGGCCTGGGCGCCTCCCTGCTTCAAGCCCGTGGGTTTTGCACATTCCTCTTCTCTTCTGAGTGTCAGACTTAGAATACCTTTTTAGTGGTCATTTCTATGAAGTGGACCAAATGACCATTGCCAGGAAGAGGTACTTGAGTGGCTGCTTCTGTCCATTTCCGTGTCCTTTCCTTGTCTTTAGGTATAGGAGCGCCAGGATACCAACTGAAATGTTACTGTGGGCCAGGTTTTTTGGTGACAATCCTGTGCTCTTGTTTTTTCTTTTTTTTTTTTTGAGACAAAATTTCACTAAGCAGTTTAGGCTGACCTTGAGCTCACTATGTAGCCCAGGCTGGTCTTGAACTCACTGTGATCCTCCTGTCTCAGCCTTCCAAGTGCTGGGATTACAGATGTGGCCACCATGCCCAGCTCTTGGCAATGCCTGGCAGCCTCTTTCCTGGTGTTCACAGCTGCTCCCCAGCAGAGGCCCAGGCCTCTGCCCCACTAGAGTGCTGAGTCTCCCGCACTAGCTGCCCTCCTGCACCTCCCTATTGGTGCTGGCTGATTGTTGCCCTAATCTTAACTGAAACCCCATGGGAAGGAGACACTGAGCCCTTCCCATCTTTGCAGATGAAATTGTGTTCATTTTTTATTCCTGTGTGTGTTGAAGTCTTCCACTGATTGCATTTTTGTGGATGTGCTCCTGGGAGATGTGTTTGCTGTTGAACCTGCAGTGCGTCCTGGCTGAATTCTCTCTCAGGGAAGGAATCGGCAGGCACTCACACCTGCAGGGCCCCTGGCCTCACCTGGAGCTGTACCTGGCACAGAGAGCTGGGCCTCCATAGATCCCCAGCCAGGGGTCTCACAGGAAGTTTCCTGTTGTCTGAGGACTTGTGGAACTGGGACTTCTGAATGCCTCTGAACTTCTCAGAGAAGTCCCGCAGGATTTTGCCCAGAGAGAGGGCCAGCCTGGTGTGATGCGCGGATGAGCTCCCCTGCTCCAGAAGCCAGTGGCTGTGGAGCTGTTGCTCTTGCATGGTGGCACCTCCCGTGTGTCCCCAGCCCTGAAGTGGAGCTGGACCTGTATGACCTGTATAACCATATTCCAGATGTGTCACTTGGAAACTATGCAAAGCTTTGCATAGTTTGCACAATCAGAATCTTAGAGGTAGATTTTTATATTTGCCGAGTCTTGTGAAAATGACCATTTTGCTTGTTTTGTGCAGGCTTTGATTCTGATAACTCTTCTGGGGAATTTTCAGAGGCAAATCAAAAGATCACTGGAATGATTGACTTGGACACCAGCAAAAGTACAAGGAGTGGGAAAAGTGGGGAGAGGCCCTCTCAAGAGAACGGCATTCAGAAACACAGGTACGGGTCTCAGCGTGCTGCTACAGAGTTTTCAGAGTGCATCTGCAGTCACACTGCACAATCCCCTCAGCTCTCGGGCACGTCCAGCTAGAACAGCACTGTGCCCCAATGCCTGGGCTCAGGGCAGGCTCTTCCAGACAGCCTCTCTGGTCTTGGAATCAACAGAGAGTGGTGCTTTGCATAGTGATTTCCATGGAAGTCTGGGTATATATATATGTAATTTAATTCCTGGGTCGATGCTTATAAATCACTTATGGCAAGTAGCTTTATTGCTAATATGCAGAACCCTTAGGAATTTCTGACTGCTTCTCTGAGATGTCTTCCAGTGCAACTGGCTGCTAGGTTTGAGTCTGCTGCAAGCTTCCACCCCTTCATTTTATTGGGGATGAGAGGTTGCCATTTGGCCCAGCCCCGGGTTCATTGGCGCTGGCCTGTAGTGTTGCTTATGACTCTGAGGCAGACTCAGTCTTGGCATTCCAGGAAAAAAGACTGATTAGAACAGTCATGTCACCTTGGCTAACGTAGTACAGTCACCAATAACAACAGCATCGAACACAGCCTAGAAAATGACAAGCTGTGCTGAGTATGAATTTATACCTTTAACCATATGCCCTGGATTTGTGGTCACATAACAGAATCTAAAGCAAACCGGGAAATTGCTTGCAGTAAATATGCCCTCACTACGGTGATTTTAACCTCAGGGCAGCAAATTTTAAAGGGGTTCGGGGAAATGAGAAGCAGAAGAGGTTAGAAGCAAGCCTGGAGAAGGAAGGATGGTCGTGCAAACTTTGGGAAAGTGGTGAAGACAGGAGGGAAAAAGAGAAGGAAGAAATAAAAGCAGCAGAACAACACAAAGACTAGACACATGTTCACACTCATATAACAAGAACAGACAGTCAAGAGAAAGGAAAACAAAACCAGATGAAAGTTTAAAAAAAATGCTCACTCCCAGGTGTCTCTGCTCTCATTGGTAGACAGAATTGGTACCTGTTTAGGTTAATCCCAGAAAGCCATGCAGGTGATGGTGGGATAGTGGATAATCCCAGTGAGCCTGCACCTTCCACTGAAGGTTTTTTTTTGGTACTGGGGATTGAACTTGTGACCTTGCGCTTGCCAGGCAGGGGCCTGTGCTGCTGAGCTGAATCCCCGTTTCTGCTGGTTTGCGCTGGCTTCTGGCTGTGAGGTTGGGACCTGATTGGTTCAGCCTGCAGTACTGCATGTGCCTCTTGCTGGCTTGATCTTAGCTTCTTAACCTGCTGGAGACTTGAACTGGACCCTGTAGATGGAGCCGGCTGTAGCTGCTCTGAGTTCCAGGCTCAGCTGACCTCTCCCCAGTGTGGTCACTGGCCTGTCACCCTCCCCTGGGGGTGTCTGAACCTGAATAACTCACAAGCCACTGTAGTCTGCTCCATCCGCAGGTCTGTTCTCCACGGAGGCCTCTGGGTGACTGTTTCTCTGCTGTTTCCTGCTCCGCCATCTCCTCGGAGGTCTCCCATCCCAGAAAGGCCAGTGCGGCCCTGCTGGTCCAGGGCCTGCTCAGGCCTGTTGTGCAGAAAGGGCTTGCTGTAAGCCACACTCCATGCCGATTTCCTGCAGATCCTGCTGTTCTTCCTGTGGCTTCCAGTGAGGACAGCAAGGGTTCATTGCTCTAGCAAGACCTCATTATTCCATCTTCCTCCTGCCAAAATGTTCCTGTTCACATAAGTAGATCTGGAGGACGGTGAGCAGTCTCCAGTGATTATGGAGAGAAGCAGGGCACAGGCAGGACCAGCTGCCGGAGGCAGTGGGTGGGAGGGCGCTTGGTACCAGGGCTCTCCAGCCTCCCTGCAGACCTCTGCTGTGAACGTTGGCCCTCTTGCCTGTGTGACACGTCGCCCAGGGCCTGGGTGCCTCACTCGCCTGTCATCCTTTATTCCTGTGCGCAGCAGTTGCAGGAATGACTCCGATGCTGCAGGGCCCTGTCTGAGGCAGCGCACACGCTGGACCTCCACCGTCGTGCTCCGTGGTGCGTGGTTCCCTGTGACCAGCGCCGGCAGTCAGCCCGGTGGCCCTGCCTCACTCTCCCTGCTGCCCTGCTCTGATACTTGGGCCCCTTTAATGACTCCCGGGTCCTTGGGCTCTCCCCGCTCTGCTGCATGCAACCCCCCCCCCCCATCCTGCTTTCTTCCTGCCAGGTAGGGGCACTTCTCAGTCAGACCTGATGGTGCCATCGCCATCTCTACCTGAAGCCTAGGCAGCCCAGCCATGGATTGCCCTTATACCCCAGTCCCAAGTGGCTCGCAACAGCACCCCCTCTAGTTACACACAAGTCCTGGCTTGGACACTGAACTACAAAGTTGCCTTCTTTTTAGGACAAAGCCACCATCATCCCTACCTCTTGTCCTTGGGGTTCAGCCCTATTCACCCCTCTGGCCTCAGCTGTTTGGAACCTGTTTGGAGCCTGAGGCGCATCTTGCCCTGGCCCGCGCTTGCCTCCCCACCCCCTGGCTGGGAGCCTCTTTCTCCATGTCTTTGTGCCTGTTTTTCTTTCTCATTTCCCTGCAGGGGTCATGTCCTTGCTTGGGGTGGTGATACACATCCGGATTCCTGGGACTGACAAGTTCAAGTCCAGCTTGGACAATTTAGAGACTGATAGTCTTTTTGTCAAGCTATAAAAAATAGCTAGGGACATAGCTCAGCTGGAAGTCTCTGGATTCAGTCCCCGGCACTACACACACACACACACACACACACACACACACACACACACACACACACACGGACCCCCCCTTCGGGACCCTCCGAGCCTCGGCCAAGCTGTGCTCCCCTCCTCCTGGCACCCTTGCAGTCTGCACGGTGTGCTGCTGTGGACCGTTTGTGAGGTGCGCTCTTGAGGGAGTGGTGTGGAGCCGTGCGTCTGTCCCCTGGCACGCAGCGCTCGTAAACATTCGTTCACGTCATTTCCAGTGTGCCTCACAGCCCTGCACCCATCCTCCCTCTCTGTTCCACCTGAGTGCTGCCTTGACACAGGGGCTGGCTCGTGGGGCCAGACAGGACTCAGGCTTGCACCTTGTGAGGCCCAGAGCCAGGCAGAGTTGAGGGTCCCCTAGTTTCAGATGCAGAGCCTCACTCCAGAGCAGCTTCCATAAAGTAGGAGTTACACAGAAAAATGCAGAGGTGACCTCCAGGCAGCTGGGAGCAGCACTGGGGACCGGGGAGCCACTCCACGGAGCCTCTCCTGCACCCCCACTTTGTGGCAGCCCACCAAAGCCCATCTCCACTCAGGCTCCACCCCCACCCCAGCAGATGGAGATGGGGATCTCGAGGAGGGAGCCAGGGAGCGAGGGGACAGGGAGCAGGGGAAGATGGTGTGGGAGGAGGGCGCCTCCGAAGAACCAGCGGGTGTTAAAGGGGCTGCAGCGCTTTCCATAATCCGTTTCCTGTGGTGGTACCTGAGGAGGGGAGTGCTGCAGCAGCAGCCTGCCCTTGCTTCTCTCCTGGGCGTGTCGGGGTTCGGAGATGCTCACGCCAGTGCCCAGAGCTGCGAGGCCCTGAGCAGCCAGCCATCAGGGCCGCCGCCTCCCGGGGGTGACAGTGCCTGCTGCTCTCCCGTTTCCCCAGGACGGCACTGCCTGCCCCTATGTTCACCAGGAGCGACTTCAGCGTGTGGAGTATACTGAAAAAGTGCATCGGCCTGGTGAGTTCATGCGGCGTGTTCAGAGCCTGAAAACATAAACATTTTAAACTCGTGAGTTGTTTGCACTGTTGAAAGCTTAAAAAATGCATTGCATGTATTTTTAAACAGCGAGATTAAGATAATTAGGAAGGGAACAAGTAATGAGAAAGGAGGGGATGTGGGGTCATTTGTGGGCAGCAGAGTAGCACCCTACAGGTTCAGCGGGACAGGAAATGTGACATGGCCCTCCTGCAGCACCCATGGTGGACTCCCAGACCCCAGACCACGGACTCTTGGTGTGGACAGTCGAGGGCTTCTCCCCAGCTATATGCCAGGCTGCGGGTCAGGAACAGGTAGAGACAGGAAGACGGCTTGGGCGGTCAGAGTGTCCAGCAGCTATAGCCTGTGTGCCCCCCCTGACTTAGAATCCAGTCTCTGCACTCGGTCTCTCGCGGTCTCATTCACGGGCCAAACCTGGAGCCAGAAACCCCAGGGATGGTCTGGAAATACACTCCCCTGCCTGGGGCTGCCCGCCTGTGTTCTGATGACACCCTTTTTTTTGCCACTTGTGTTTTGCTCTTGTCCACTTGTCCCCCAGAGGAAGCTCCATTTTGCCCGACCCTTTCTTTTGCGGTAATGTTGGACATGGAGAGTTAGAGAAGTAACAAGACGTCTCCAAGCCGTCCTCCGTCCCCCGGACGCTGGCTCCAGATTAGATCACAGTGAAAGACGCGCCTAGGCTCCCCTTTTCTTTCTTTGGCCCTGGGGATTGAGCGCAGGGCTGCACGCATGCTAGACCAGCGCTTGGCCACTGAGACTTCGAGGTTTTCTACTGATGACCACCCCCCGGGTCCCCTGGCTCGGGGGGCTGTCTTGTCCCTCTGCTCTGTCACCGGTCCTCAGCCTTCCCTTGTCATTAGTGACCTTGAAAATTGAAGAGCAGTTGTTTACTCTTGGGCGGGGTCTTCCTTAGTGTGGGCTCATCTGCTGTTTTCTCGTAATTATTGGCTTTTGCATTTATTTTTTTTTTTTGGATCCGGGGATCAAACTCTCGACCTCGCACTTGCCAGGCAGGCATTTTTGCTGCTGAGCTAAATCCCCGGCTGGCTTCTGCATTCTTGGCAGGAATTTGCAGAAATCAGGGCCCCTCCTCAGGGCCTCTTGCTCGACTTCTTACTGGGGTGCTGACCTCGATCACTTGATCAGAGGTCCCCACGCAGAGATCTGCAGTTTCTGTTTTTCCCAGGTGATTACGTGGAAGGAAAACCCTGTCTTATGAATTGAATTTTTATAAATTGTGTATATTTTTACAAACTAATTTTATAAATTTGATTTTGTTTTAAAATATGGGTCCAAAGTTAAATGAGCTATATATATTAGTCTGTTTCATGTTAGCAGACAGGTTAACCTGTTCATGTTAACATAAAGCAGACTGATATATATATATAATACAATACCGCAGAGTAGTCTTGCTATGGGGAAAAGAGGTTTAGTGTTCTGGAGGTACAAGGCCTCGGGGCCATGTCTTTCAGCTGGCAGAGTCCCTGGGTGGCACAGAGCCTCACACGGAGACACAGGGAGCGTGCATGGACTCTCACGCATGTGTTTGTGTACCTTCTTCTTTCTGTTGTTTTTTGTTTGTTTATTTGTTTGTTTTCTGAGGCAAGGTCTCATTCTGTGGTTTAGGCTGGCCTTGAGCTCACAGCAGGCCTCCTGCCTCAGCTCCTGAGTGCTGGCATCACAGGTGTGGGCCACCATGCCCAGTGACTCTCCTTGCCGCTGTCTCGCTATGCAGATTGAGTCACGCAGACTGCACAGATTACCTTAGCCGCTCCTGTCTGTTCCCCAAGGCCCCACGATAGTATGTGGTTTGTGAGTGCTTTGTGTACTCCCTGGTTGCCCTGGAACCAAGCAGGGTGGCCCTGTGGTTCACAGGGGCACCTCTGGTTTTCGGTTGATGCACACAGGCTGCAGTGTGCGCATGCCCACTGAGGTTCTGGGACAGATTCCCAGAAACGGTATTGCGGGACCGAGGATGAATGCACGCAGAGCCTCGGTAGCTGGGGCTGGACCCTCACGGCAGCAGAGCCGCTCTGGGGCACTGCCTCTCCTGGCCTGACCAGAGCCAGCCTCCCCTGCCGGCCCCTGGGCTCCCCTGGTTTTCTGCAGCACCCAGACGGCACATGGAGCCCTGACTGGGTACCGACCACAGGTGTTCTCTGCATTTTGTGTCCCTGCTCCTTCCCAGCCTGCTCTCTTGGGTCTCTAACGCTGTCCCTTCTGCCTGTTCCTGAAATGGGGGTGTAGTTATGAGCTTGCTCTCCCTGCCTTCTTGGGCCAGCCCCCCTCGTGTGGTCATGGTGACCCAGTTGTAACTCCAGTGCCAGCCCTCCCGGGCCCACACCCCCACTTTTCTCAGGGTTCCCGAGCAGGCAGCCTCTCTGTCCCAGGCTCCCAGCCTGTCCATTGTCGCCCTCAGCTGAGGCTGGTCCTGAGCCATCTCCCTGGACCTGGCCTAAGAGCAGAACCAGCAGAGCCAGTCACGGAATGCTCTGAGCTCACTCCAGCCGTGGGGGCATCGTCCTGGCCCGGACAGATGTGGAGCCCAGAGGTTAGCAGCTCAGTGCCAGGGAACCCTTACTGGGGACGCCCAGTCGTCTACGTCCTGTACCTCTTCCGCTGTGCTTAGCTGTCTCCTCCTGGGAGCCCCTCTGTCCCCACAGGGACAGCTGCATGGCCACAAGCTCACTTCTGCCAGCACAGTGCTGGGGAGAAGGTGTCCGAGATGCCTTTCCCGACTGAAAGATCTTTGGGCAGAGTCACACAAGCTCATGGTGAAGGACCTTGCTTAGGCATTTCTGGGTCATCCTGGCGGCCGTGGAAGCTAGGGGTGATTTATTTCCTTTTATTTAAGGTATGATCTCATGTTGTCTAGGCTGGTATCTAACTCCTGTTTGAAGCAGTCCTTCTGCCTCAGCCTCCTGAGTAACGAGGACCATCATGCCTGCCATTACACCCAGCTAGGAATAATTTTTTTTTTCTTTTTCGTTTTTATCGGTACCAGGGATCGAACTCACGACTGCCTGCTTGCAAGGCAAGCGCTTATGCCGCTGAGCTAAATCCCCAGCCTCTTAGGAATAATTTTTTTCTTTTTTTTTTCAGTCTTTTTGTTTAGTTTTGTTTTGTTTTTTGAGATAATGTCTCACTATTTAAGTTCAGGCTGGCCTTGAACTTGTTATATCGTACAAGGCTGGCCTCAAGCTCATGGCGGTTCTACTGCTTAGCCTCTTGAATGCTGGGATTGTGGGTGTGTGTCATCATACCTGTCTGTTTCTTGTTTTTTTGAGATAGGGTCTTGCTGTGCAGTTCAGGCTGGCCGTGAACTTGGTAGGTAGCCCTGCCTGGCCTTGGACTTACAGTCGTCCTAGCTCAGCCTCAATAGTGATGGGATTGGCGGGAGCGATTAAGCACTGGCGTCGCACGTCTGGAAGCAGAGTCAGGAAAGAGCAGGAGGCAGTAGTCAGGAGTGTGATGGGGGTCAGGAGTGGGCTGGCGTGCAGCCGAGACCCGTGGGCACCACAGCAGGTCTCCCGGGTCCTTCCAGGAGCTGTCCAAGATCACAATGCCGATTGCCTTCAACGAGCCCCTGAGTTTCCTGCAGCGGATCACGGAGTACATGGAGCATGTGTTCCTCATCCACAGAGCCTCCCGCCAGGCGCAGCCCCTGGAGAGGATGCAGGTGAGCCCTCGCAGGCCAGCAGCATGTTGGTTGGATGCATGAGGACCCTTTTGAAGGTCTGAGCTGTAGCCCTAGGAACTTAGGAACTTGGCACCCTGCTGACAGGAAGTCAGTGAGTGGGCCCTCCATAGGTAGGAGTTCTGGCCTCGCAGGGCTCACGTCATTGTTGCTTGCTTGTGTGTACGCACAAGTGCACACACACATCCATGCATGGACACACATGGGTGGCACACATGCAGTGCACACATATCTTTACTTGTATGCATGTGTGCATGTATGTTTGCATGGGTCGGCCCATGTTTACATGCACATGTCTGTGAGCAGAATGAGTGTACTTGAGCCTCCTGAATGCTCGTGAACAAGACAGACAGACAGACAGACTGATGTTGCCACTCTGTTCACGAGGGTACCGATTGTAGGGCAGGATCTGTGCACTGTTCTGTTTCTTTGTGGCACTGAAGCAATTGCGGGCGACGAAAGGCATGTGGCAGGAAGTCCTGCAATCTCCAAACACGTTACTCGGGGAAAGCAAGGAGTCAGCGGAGTAAATAATGACCCGGAGGCTGAGCGTGCGCTCCCTCGGTGCCGCACTGCCGGCCGGCCGGAGCGTTCTAACCCTCCTGTGGATTGTTTGCAGTCCGTGGCTGCTTTCGCCGTCTCTGCTGTGGCTTCCCAGTGGGAGAGGACCGGCAAACCATTCAACCCGCTCCTGGGGGAGACGTATGAGCTGGTCAGGTAAGGGGGCCCGTCACGAGTACCGAGCAGATGGCTTCTTGATGACACAAGTGCAGTCCTCTCCCCAGCACCGGCTCTTGGCTCTGAGGGGAGACAGCTGTGGAGCATTTACAGAGCAGTAGGCAAGAAGGTGTTTTACACACACACACATACATACCCCCCCAGACACACACACACAGAATATTGTGCTCATGGGGGAATAAAACCCTAGTAGTGCAGGACAGGGCTGCAGTAGGCTGTTCAGGACCAGTGGCCACCTGGACTGTGACATTCCTGTGCAGCCAGAGGACTCATGGAGGGGTGGTGGCTTCCTAAAGTGCAGGTGGGCACCGCTGGGCGGAATGGGGCTGCTGAGCCACAGCAGTTTGCTGAGTGTTACTGAGAGTGGCCGTGGAGGCCCGTGGGTGCTCCATGCCGGACGGGCTGCCAGCCTGCCCTGCTGGGGCTCTGCAGTGGTGGACAGCCTGGCTGCCAGATCCTCCAGCTGACTACGCAGGGCCCTTCCCAAAGGCCCTCTTCTCATGGCCAGGAGGCCTCTGATTCAGCCCCAGGTCACAGGGTGGCTGTCAGGCTCTGGGGACTGGACTGGCTGGGATTCCCTTCCCTGCCTCGTTGCCTAGGGGCTGTGGTTGTTCAAGACTGTCCAGAAAAATGCCTGTAGACAGAAGGGAGGCCCTGTGTTCCCTGGCCGTGGGTCGGGTTGGCCCAGCAGAGCCCTGGGGGTCAGTGAGACCCAGGGTGCAGCTGCCTTGTGATGCTATTCGTGCCCGCCCAGGCTCCTTCTTGGCCCCTCACCATCGGCCCAGTCTCCTTCATCCCTTCTCAGGTCAGTTGCCAGCCCTTCCCTGTGCCCTGCCAGCGAGGGCACTATCTGGAGCAAAGCCGTGGCTGTGACACTGGCTGGCACCTGCTCCCCAGGTGCCATGGCCTCTGAGAAAGAGGGGCTGGCTGGGAGGGTGCGTGCTGTGGAGACACAGAGAGGACACTGCGGTGGCAGAGGCCACAGGCCTGCGAAGATGCAGGCCGCCCGAGATGCTGCCCCAGAGGTGATGCGTGGTGCATCATTAGTCTGTCTTGGGAGCTTCATTCAGGGGTTGAACTAGTTTCACAGACAGAAGGAGAAAGCAGATTCGTTTCAGATCCCTGCACAGCCGGCTCGTCACGCTGTCCGCTCGAGGCCCACTTGCCAGCGTCTGTCACTTAGAGTGCCCAGAGGCCAGTGGCCTGGCCCCGCCGTGGTGCATGGCCGCAGTCCTGTGGCAGCCCAAGTCTTTCATCCCGTCACATCCCTCTGTAGCTAAAAATACGCTTTCTTTTCTTAGACAAGTATTCATTTTGTAAATTATATACCTTGGTAGGCAACCTTTTAAAACCTAATTTTTTAACTTTCCTTCCTCTGTAACGATTGGAAATTCTGATTCCAGCTAAGTTAGTAATTATGTGGTTTAGCTTTTATAATTTTTAATGACTACAACTGTAGGTGTATTCACCGTTCCGGAACAATTAAAAACTGACATTTTTATTGAATAAGAAAGTCTGCTGAAAGTCCTGTTTCTTAGCTGGGAATATTGAGGTCTAAGACATTCTGTCCCAAAGATTTGGGAGCATGGAGGCTGGGCAGGACCGCCCTCCGGGGCCTGGGAGCACAGGTCTGAGTTTGTCAGCACTGGAGGGTTGAAGAGGGAGTTTGGGGCAGGGTTGCCCTCGTCTGAGGCACCTCTGGCCAGTGCCCACAGGCTCAGGTGTCCTTGGCCGTGAGCAGCAGGGCAGGTGGTCTTCCCGTGTGTGAGCTGGTTCTGAGGGTGGCTGCCTGCTGTGTCACCCTTCGGCCAGTCGTGCTGTCCGGGCACAGGCTTAGCCTGGAGACTGTTGGTGTCCCCAGCAGCCGGGGGAGGGCCGCAGTGGGCCCCTGGCCTGGGCCGCGGTGCTCCCTCTGGCCCGACGGGGAGCAGCCTCGTGTCTTGTCGTCACTCAGAGCTATTTCTCTTTTCTGCCCCCTCTCCCTCCTTTCTCTTGTTTCGGCCCTAGGGAAGATTTAGGATTCAGATTCATATCCGAACAGGTCAGTCACCACCCTCCCATTAGTGCATTTTATTCAGAGGGTCTCAGCCAAGACTTCGTGTTCCACGGCTCCATCTACCCAAAGCTGAAGTTCTGGGGCAAGAGCGTGGAGGCGGAACCTCGAGGGACCATCACCTTGGAGCTTCTCAAGTGAGTGGTGCTCACCAGCCAGCCAGCCAGCCAGCCAGCCGGTCAGCCCTGGCTGGCTGCACGCTGCCTCCTCACGGGGCGCCTGGCCTCTTCGTAGGGCAGGTGGCCTTCCCGCCAGCACGCTTCCGCTCGCCTCTGGGCTTGAGAGTGCGCTGTCCTCGAGACTGGTGGGCCTCCCACCCACCCTGTGCTTGAGTCCCTCACTGTGTCCACCATCCCGAGCTGCCCAAGGCCAGGGGTTTCTGAGAGCAGAGGCGCCCTCCCGGCAGCAGAGCCGGGCTCTCCAGACTGCTTCCAAGCTGCTTCACGCCTGGCCTCCGTCCGGCCTCCCCAGAGCTGCTCCATGCAGAACTGAAAAGTTGTGCGCTGCTAGTGGAGACTGAACCCGGGGGCTCTTTCCCACTAAGCTCAGGGTGCCTGTATTTTGAATTAGGGTCTCACTGAGTTGCATAGGCTAGGCTGTACCCAGAACCTTCCTGCCCCAGCGTTCCAAGTAGCTGGTGTTCCAGATGTGTGCTGCTCTATGCAGCCAGAAACCTTCTGGGTTAATGTGTTTGGGTCCCGCCTGTCATGTGGTCATGTTCCAAGCTGGTTTTGCCCTTAGCTCCAGATGTGGTCTGGGCTTCGGGCCTGGCCATCTGCCGCCTCTCACGTTTGTGAGGTTCCTCTCGCACCAGGGCCATTTGGAGGGTGCGGAGTAAAGGAAAAGGTGCAGAGCACTGTCTGTCGGCAGTCGCCATCTGCAGTGTCCCCAGTGCCGCCCCCACAGAGCTCGGGCCGGCATTGCCGCACAGTGCGCACTGAAGTGGCTTTTCTTCTGGCAACTTCACAGGAAAGCCATTTCCTTTTGTCTCAGTCTCTTTTATTGCTTATTAACTTGTCTTGACATTTAAGTAGAAAGCTTTGTTGATGCTACAAAGGGAAGAAGAAATAAATTTCAAACACAGGCTAACCAAATAGCCTGTGTAGAGGGACTTCAAAGGGACCCAGCCCCAGCAGGCTCCCGGTTCTGTCTGGCCATGGCCTCCTGCTCATGCAGGCTCTGTGCCTCGACGCCCCTCACTTGCTTGTTTCTGGCCTTTTCAGACACAACGAGGCCTACACCTGGACCAACCCCACCTGCTGCGTGCACAACGTCATCATCGGGAAGCTGTGGATAGAGCAGTACGGAGTGGTGGAGATCCTGAACCACAGGTGGCTGTGCTGGCCACTACCCCCAGCCTCAGGGCTCGGGCAGAGGGTCCTCGGGTGGTGGCGGCCCACGGGGTTTGGCCCTGGCCCTGCTGAGGTCATCTCAACACTGTTGACCGAGTGGTGTTTTGAGTCACAGTAGTGAGCTCACCTGCAGTTCTGAGCTGCGTTGGGTCGAGTGTGTTGGGTCAAGGTGTCAGCACTGCCTCGAGCGCTGTCTGGTGGTCACGCCTGGAAGCCCGAGCTTTTGCCATGAGGTGGAGATCGTTTATTACTCAGGAGATGCGCAGTTGAGTTACGAGTTACAAGGCCACCCAAGTGACCTGTGGGTACATTTACCAAGCGTGCAACCATCACCGCAGGCCGGGTCTAGAGGATTTCTGTCACCCCTGAAAGGCCCGTGGGATGCCGCCATCACGCCACGGCTGCCCACACTCCCAGCCTGGGCCCTGCTCCCGTTCAGTGTCACCTCACAGCAAAGCCCCCGTTTGTTCTCCCCGCAGGACCGGTGATAAGTGCGTGCTTCACTTCAAGCCCTGCGGCCTGTTTGGGAAGGAGCTACACAGAGTGGAAGGGCACATTCAAGACAAAAAGTGGGTGTGCTGTTGGGGTGCGTGGGTGTGGCCAGTGTGCAGTGTGCCCCGTTCGGGAACGGCGTGGTCTGTAGTACAGGTCTAGGTGAGGGCAGTGGGCTGCCTTCCCGGGAGGCGGAAGGCTCAAGCCCCTGAGACGTGGGGCTTCTTCACTGCGGTGACGCTGCAGGGCTACAGACACCGGGCTGAGCCTGCAGAGCTTTGACTGTGCGCCCCCTTCACTCTGCGGGCACCCAGCGCATGGGCGCCTGGCCGCACATGCCAGAGTGTGAACCGAGATGTTTTAAAGTTTATGTGGGCAGAGAAGCGGTCCGACTGTTCAGATTTTCCCCTGCTCTGGATTAGTTCTGTTATCTTTTAGGTCTCAATCTCTCTGTCTCTTTTCAGTAAGGAATTTGAGCCACATAACAGCAAGCGATTCCTTCCAGCTCTTAGGATCTAGTTTCCAATGTGGACACTTTAAGCAGCCTTATCCATGTTCCCTGGGGCACAGAAACTTACCTGTTCATGCTGCCTGTAAGATGCCATCTCCTGGGAAATGCCCTTGGGCCCGGCACAGCTTTTTAGGGTGGCAGCCTGCTGGGGTCTCCTCCCCCAGAGTCACCCCGGCTATAGGCACAGAGGCTGCTCTGTAGCCCTGAGAATGCCCAAACTTTTCTTCGGGTTTTGGAGATTCCATGCTAAATCTGAGCATGCCGTTTCCTCAGAGATGGAGAGGTGGCCACCATGCCGTCTGCACTGACCAGTCCAGGCTGCATTGCCCTTGTCCCATTGTACTGGCCTGGAAGGTCGCCACTGAGACACTTGTCCTCTCCCAGTGGCAGGAGCCTGTCAGAGCAGTGCATCCTGGGAGCAGAGGCCACTGTGTGCTCTCCTCAGACAAAGGGGCAAAGGGCCCGGCAGGGTGGTGGCTCTGTTCCTTTTGGAATCAGGCACAGAGCTCCGTGACCAGAGAAATCAGACACCACCAGCTCCTCGGGGCCTGGGCTGTTGACATAACCGACAGGAAAGGCCTGAAGGCACACAGCACTTGAAGTCTGGTTTAAGACACAGCAGTGTGGCCTCGGGACGGAGGTCAGTGGTCAGCAGTGCCTCGCCTGTGTGAGGCCCGGGTTTCAGCCCCGGCACCACGGAAACAATCGAGATTGGAATGTGCAAATTTAAATTGAGAAAAATAGATAATTGCTCTTTTTCTTGGACCTTCTTATCTCCTTTGTAATTCTCCCCGAGGCCCTGTGGCTGCCTCTCTCTAGGCTGCTGAGCTTTGTGTTCCTCTCAGCTGTGGCATCAGGTCAGGAGTAGCTGCTTTCAGACAGGGAGCGCCTGCGTGTGCATTTCCCTCTGCACTTACCCCCGGCCTCGTCCCAGTGCAGAGGATCCCGAGAGGAGGAGGTGTCCCACAGGCAGCGTGAAGGGGCCTCGCGGGGACGGGTGCCTCGTGATGGCTCTGAACTGGGTCGGGACCCCCTTTCTTACAGCAAAAAGAAGCTCTTCATAATCTACGGCAAGTGGACGGAGTGCCTGTGGGGCATAGAGCCTGCGTCCTACGAGTCCTTCAAGAAGCAGGAGAAAAGAGGCGACCACCCGAGGAAAGCCAAGCTGGTGAGCCGTCCCGCTGCAGCCCTGGCGGGGAGCCTGGGTGGGTGAGGCCACAGCTGCTCGGAGGCTCCAGGCTCGCTCCTGGGCCAGTGCGGGAGGGCCAAGCCGGGAGTTTGTGTTAAGGTGCAGCTGCCTGTCTGCCTGCGCTCTGGTGCTGGGTGGGAGTCTCTGCCTTCAGATTGTGTCGGGGCTGTGTCATAAACTGTGGTTTCCTCCCGGGACTAAAAATGTCCCAGAAACCTCACGCAAATGCATTTCTTTTCTGGAAATTCTAAATTCTGGGTTCTTCTTTTTTTTTTTTCCTTAGTTTTTTTTTTTCTTTTTCTCTTTTTATCGGTACCGGGGATCAAACTCACGACCGCCTGCTTGCAAGGCAGGTGCTTATGCCGCTGAGCTAAACCCAATTCTGGGTCCTTCTTAATAAATCCCCTTCCTTTATGTGAAACAGCTTAGATCTATTTAAAAAGCCAGGTGAGTTTTGTTTGTAGTTTTTATAGTTCTGAGTATGAGATAACATTTTTTCCAGTTCTGAGTACTAGGTAACCTATTCAGCAATCAGGAAAATTGGCAAGGATTTTCCCCCGTACATTAGGATACTGATGATTTTAAGACAGTAATTCTAAAGTAATAAAAGATGTGTCATGTTTTCTGGATAATCAATGGGAATGTATTGAATCAAGGTGTTCAATATTTATTTTTAAAAAGGACCAGGGATGTAGCACAGCGCTTGCCTGGCAAGTGTGAGGTTGTGAGTTCGGTCCCTGGTACAAAAAAAAAAGATATCTTTTCTAATAATTCTCTTGTTTAAAAAAAAAGGAACATTCCATTTAAAGGCTACACATAGTTGAAATGTGAGCTCCACTTAGTGGTGTCATGTAATACTTTGGCCTGCTCTGTGGTCCTTTGGGTGACCTAGAGCTCAGAGCATGTCCCTTTGCTGGCGTCCGGTAGAGGGACCCTGAGCTTTGCTCCCAGCCCAGGGCTCTGCCCTCCACTGCGGTTCTGTTTGCAGCTTCCTCGGCTGAACCGACTCTGGAGATGGGGAGGCCATCGTGTTCTGGGAAGGATGGTTTGGACACTGGGCATAGTCTAGAAGGCGAGCTCCTGTGATCCCAGCCATGGGGACTGCTTGGTTGAGGGCCAGCAGCAGCATCTGGGGAAGCTCCAGTCTGCTGCCCTTCATGCTGAGGTGGGCAGGCACCCTGCATGTGGCCTGGTGCCCGCAGAGCCCAGGATGCCTGCAGCCGTACCCAGCTGCCTCACCTTCTCTCTGGGTGGGACAGCCCAGTGCAGCATAGCCCTGCAGAGGGCTGAGCTGGTTTCCTGAGCCCTACCCTTTCCACACACCAGAGGATGGCCAGTGTCATCTCTCGAGAGGAAACCTGGTTTTCTTCTTGGTTAACAAAAAGGGTCTCGCTCTGCAGAGGGACCTGGGAACAGGCCTTGAAGTTCCAGCTGGCAGCTGTATGGTACAGGAATACCTAAATGTCCTGTGTTTCAGGATGATGGCCCAGAAAAGGCTGACAGTGACGTGGCTGGCGATGTGGCTGATGATGTGCCTGTAGCTCAGGAGACAGTGCACGTCATCCCTGGGAGCAAGCTACTCTGGAGGATCAACAGCCGGCCCCCCAACTCTGCTCAGGTCTGTACTCCTCGCACCTGCGTGCTCTGTGTGGGCCCAGGCCAGCCTGGTGCCAGGTACTGAGGGTTTGCCACGCCCTCTCTATGTCCCTGATACGCCTCAGTCAGCATCTCTGAGCACTCTGCTTCTGCAGCTGGGGCCCGAGGGCCCATGCCCTCCAGAGCGGCACCCAGCCGTGTACCCATGTGCAGCCCAGGCCCACTCCTCTGCAATGCCCATGAGGTCTGGGAACTGGTTCCTGCCTGTTTCCATGCCCGGCCGCCGCACTGGAGCCCCCCACACTTGTGCCTGTCCTTCCACCAAGCACGGGGCACCTGGCTTTGTCCCCGAGCCGCTCAGACTGTCCTCGTCACAAGAGGACTCCAGACTCCTCGGTGAGGCCCGAGTTCTGACCTCCATGTCTGTCTTTCTAATCCGTCTCATCTCTGAGACCTGGGCTCAGAAGCTCTTGGCTGGCACTGCGGGTGGGCACACCACTGTGTGGGCACTAAACACAGTGTGACATTTCTGTCTGAGGACTGCACTTAAGAATTCTCATTACATCTGTGTGACATTGTTTATTATAGTACAAATAGTATGAGATACAAACATATAAAAGGAAAACATGCAGGCGGAGCATCCTGTAACACACTGCACGTTGTAATGCCGAGTGCCAGCATGCTTTCTGTGCGTGCAGGTGCGCTGCCCACGCACGCGGCCCTGGAGCCTCTGCCTGCGTCTGCGCTGCGCTGCTGCCTCTGTGTAGATATGCATGGGGGAGCGTGCGGCTCGCCTCCCCAAGCGATGTCGCTGTTTGAGGAGCACAATGATACTAGTTCACATCTGCTTCGTTTTTGTTTAGAGAAATAAAGCTTGTGTGTTCTCAGGGAAGTTAATTTTAAGAATAACCTCGCGCCCCACCCTTTGGTTCTCTGGTGCCGGTTGAAGCTTCCTGCCTGCTAGCTGTAGGCTGGGCCTGGGTGCTGGGAGCAGATCGGCCCCAGTGTCCCCCTCTCTGCCCAGCAGGTGGCTGGTGGCAGGGAGGGGCACACTCCAGGGGTAGCCCGGTGTTATCTTAGAAGGTGTTGGGGACAGGGACGCTGCAGTGAGAGAGAGGATGGGGCCTCCAGGAGGACCTGGCAGCTGAGGCTGTCTGAGGCCAGAGGGGATGGCCACGCGAGGTCAGGATGCTGGAATCTGGGGTTTTGTGTGACACAGGTACCCCAGAGCTCACTTGTCAGGGGTGATCAGATAGGATTTGCATCTCTATGGCCCTGGAGCCACTTACTGAGACACCATGTTAAGCGAGAGAGAGGAGGAGGCCAGGTGGGAGCAGGGGCGTCAGGGCAGGAGGTGCAGCAGACTGCAAGCCTGCGCTGGACATGTTCACCCTGGGGATTCTTTCAGCCACTGAGAGACAGTGAAGCCAGCTGTGGGACACAGGCCTGTAATCCCAGCTTTCTGGGAGGCTGAGACAAGAGGATGGCAGGTTTGAGCCCAGCCTGGGGAACTCAGTGATTTAATGAGCACTTGTCTTAAAGTTTAAATAAAGGGATGGAGCTTAGTACAAATGTCCTCGGTTCAAGCCCTACAAATGGGGAGAAAAAGATGCTGAGCAAAGAGGCGTCCAAGTCACCAGTGGGCTTCCTGGGGGCAGTGTGTACACTGCGCCCTAAGACTGGCGGGTAGCCGGCGTGAGGGCACACACCAGCACCGAGGGCGGAGGCAGGAGCACTGCTGTGAGTTTGAGTCCAGCTTGTGCTACACAGTGAGGCCCCGTCTCCAAGAGGAAATGACTGAAGACGCCAGGGCCGAGACCCTGGGCGGCCCTGTGGTGGGGCGTGGCAGCAGGTGCTGGGCTGAGCAGGACTCGGTGCCTGATGACACATGGCCACGTGTAGTGTTTTGGGTGACCATGGCTTAGATCCCAAGTTGTGTGAATCAGGGGCTGTTTACAGGGCCGTGTCTGTGCCCCTACAGATGTACAATTTCACCAGCTTCACTGTGAGCCTCAATGAGCTAGAGTCGGGCATGGAGAAGACCCTGCCGCCCACGGACTGCCGCCTGCGCCCGGACATCCGAGGCATGGAGAACGGCAACATGGGTACGTCCGCGCCAGGGCTCGAGGAGGTGTCCCCCAGAAAGGGTCCCCAGGCCCTTTGACCAAATCAGGTGGCAAGCAGGCCTCTGCACACCGCTGCTCAGGCAGCTGCTTGGAGGCTCGTAACGGCCTCTGTAAACACAGTAAATTAAACCCCGAGACTCAAGGATGGCCACGAGCCTGCGAACCTGGCCCACTGAGGCAGGATGATCTCGAGCTGAAGCCCAGCGGGCCCAAAAACAGAAAATATGGGTGTAATTTTTATTATAAAACTTGCCCTGTGTTAAGATGGTGAAGCCCTGAATTCTCACGCCTGCAGCGGATCACTGCTGCGCCCTGATCTGCCCGCAAGGGCCCGTCTGCCACACTGCTGTGAGCTCTGCACATCACCACTCCCGGTTTCTTTTCTTGGTGCTGGGATTGGAACTGGGGCGCTTGTGCTTGCCAGGCAGGCGCCGTTTCAGTGAGCCATGTCCCTGCCTGGTGCTCCCAGTTTCAGTGTGACAGGGAGCTGGGCTCTTGCTCACTCATGCAGCTCGGAGTGCCTGGCCGCACACACTCAGTGGAGAAGAAAAGGGCTGGGGCCGGGGCAGGGGGTGCAGTGTGAAGTGCAGGCTCGGGGGTTCCGCTCCCCGTCCACCCCCAGAATGAGCTGAGCTCAAGAGTGGACACCTGAGGGCCCACATTACCAGAACTCACCTCCTATGCAGGCGGCTTTGAGACGCACCCCTCTGGGCTGCGCGAGCCTGCCCCCTCTGCCACCTGCACAGCTGGGTGTTCGGGTGATGTGCCAGGAGCATTGTGGCCCACACTCAGAGCAGTGCCATCGTCCTGCACAGTGGCTCTGCTCCGGGTCCCAGGGAAGTCCCTCCAGCACCCAGGCGCCAGGGCGGAGCGTGTCCTCAGGAGGTCCGGAGGGTTCTGGCATCTCCAAAGTAACTGGGAGCCTAGAGCAGGCCAGGCCCTCACCCAGAGCCTGTCTGCTCGCATCCAGATCTGGCCAGCCAGGAAAAGGAGCGGCTGGAGGAGAAGCAGAGAGAAGCCCGCAGGGAGCGCGCCAAGGAGGAGACGGAGTGGCGGACCAGGTGAGGCGGGCGGGAGGGCAGCAGGAGCCCATGGGGCAGTGGGTGTCGCCCTGCCGCCCTCAGGCCCCCTGCTTGGTGCACACCCTCAGGAGAGGATCACCTCAGCCCCGGCACTGCCGCCTGCCTCCCTGTGTTTGACCCAAAGCATTGTCCTGCAACGTGGCCAGTCATTTAAGCAGAACACAAGTGCTGTGGGTACTGGTGCTGTCCCCAGGCGTGCAGTGGCCACAGGTGCCCCAGGGGAATGGCAGCAACACTTGCTCCTGAGGGCCAGGCTGGAGCCCGGGTCCCCGGCCAGCACGGGCGGCATGAACATGGAGTGGCCCTGAGCTGCACACTGTCAGGAGAGGCAGTGACTTCTGGCCACAACTGCCAGGGGCTCTGGACCCATTTCTTAGGGGCTGTTTCACGCTACTTTTTAGTAATCACCAGACATGATCTGTTTAATAAGGATTTACTAATCCGTTTAAACCCAACCTATGTTTAATCAGTGTATGCAGTGTTATAGTTACATGTGTTACATACGTAAGAGCTGACCGTAATGGTGTGGCCGATAATCCTAGTGTTCTGGAGGCTGAGACAGAAGGATTACAAGTTTAAGGCTAGTGTAGACTACTTAGTGAGACCTCATCTCAAATAAAGGAAAAAAGTAAGTCTGTTACAAAATCTTTGGGTGTTTTGAAGAGCTCAGTCCTTTTCAGGCTTTGGTTTCTTCCTTTGCTCCCTTCTCCATCCTTGGACTAAGTGTCACTGTCACCCTCCTGAGTCTCCTGAGCCTTGGACCCCTAGGATCAACTGATCCTCTTGCTTCAGCCCCAAGAAGCTGGGCCCAGCTACCACCATGCCCAGTGAGGCTTCATTCTTTATAGAGGTGTGGCTACAATTTTTAAAACCAATTCTTGATGCTTAGGCTTCCAATTCAACTTAATATCGTGTTTTTAGTGGTTTTCTATTTGGAAATCTCCCTTTGTTTCAAAGAAAAACAGTTGAAAATAACCTTTTCTTAAAGTGTCAAAGATACAAAAAATTATAAACTGAAAATAATATTTTGTCCTTAGAAAGTAATTTTCCTTACAAGTTCTACCAAAATAGGCTTCACTGCAAACTGAAACACCCTTAGCTGCCCTTGTGCCGTGGAACAGCTGTGGATCGAGGCTGTGGCGGGTGCAGGCTGTAGGAGCAGCCAAAGGGGGCTGAGGGCAGGGGCCTAAGACCAGTGTCCAGGACCGGCTGGACACTGTCCACTGACCGGCTGTCCAGTGTCCTGGCAGGCAGGTTTCTGGCAGTTAAATCGTTGAAGGTCTGTTGGGGACCGCCAGGACGAGTGTGTGTAGATCAGCGCATTTATGTGGGACACTGGTGGGATCCTCACTGGCAGGGGTCCCCTCAGGTGCGTTGCTACAGCACTGTTCTGGGCATCCAGGTGTAAGCAGCGGGTAGCAGCGTCTTCTGAGTGCGCTCCTTGTGTCCCGCAGGTGGTTTTACCCAGGTGACAACCCCTACACTGGGACTCCTGACTGGTTATACGCAGGGGACTACTTTGAGCGGAATTTTTCTGACTGCCCTGATATCTACTGAGGGCTGCAGCCAGGCCTGGAAGCCTTCGGGGCTGCACCGGTGAGCGGCCCTGAGCTCGAGAGCAGAGCCAGCTGGTCCGCCCGAGGTCCCGGACACTGCACCTACCACCCAGGGCCACCTTGATGACCTCCACTGCCCGGCAGCTCATGACCGCTGAGTCCCCATGAAGCTCCAGCCCCTTCTGACCAATGAGCTTCGGAGGGCAGACTGCCGTGACAGACGCAAGTGGGGCCGGAGGAGCTCGTGGTGCCGGCAGCCTGAAGACCTGTGACTGGAGGAGGTGGCTGCAGCGGGGCGCCCCCAACAGAGCCTTCCCAGGTCCCGGCAGTGGGAGAGTCCGGAGCAGCGGGTGAAGGACAGGATAAGCTGCCCCGCCTGTCCTTCTACCACTCTGGAGCAACGTAAAGATTACTTTTAAAATATTTAAGTTGAAACTACTCGAACAGTGTTTCACCTAAGGGCAGGGAATGTGAATGGCCGGAGTGCTGTCCGAACAAGTCCTGGGACACCGGGGGCAGAAGCCTGCGACTTAGAGACATGCTGCGGCTGCCCCCAGCCTCCCAGGAGCCCCGCCTCGGCCTCGGCACTCCTGCTGTCCCCGTGGACCACACCCATGTCCTCAGAGCGGTCACCTGCCCACCTCGCCTGTGTCCACAGTCACGTGTTTCTGTTTTCCCGCCATGCATGTTCCACTGTAAGCCAGCCTCACGGAGCCGTTAAGGTGTGGGAGGTCAGAGCAGGATCGGCTCCTCCGCTGTCAATTACAGCTGTCTGACCACAGCAGGCGTGGGTCCCTCTCAGCACTCCTGTGCAGTGACAGACTTCATGTAGAAATGTCACACCACAGATCAGTCGGGCTTTGCATCAGACTCTGCTGGGTGCACACGCGCACACCTGTGCAGCTGTGAGTGTGGGTCTCTAAGCACTCCTGAGTGAGCACTGTCACTGTGTATCCAAGAGGCTTTCAGAGCCACCTTTGTAATTAAAACACGTTTAAAACCCACCGCTGGTTTCAAAAGTTGATTTTGTATCCCTGGAACCTGAAATGGGGGTGTTGTGGTTGCAGCTGGTGTTCTGGGGTCTGCGGTGTCTTTGTGGAACCCTGCAAGTGCCCACTGCGGAGTGTCACCTCAGCCCTGGCTGACCATCGTTGCTCCCTCCACTCCTGACCCCTGCTCGGTGGCTGTCAGGTACATCTGAGCTGTGCTCTCCTGGCATCCTCCCGGGAGCCCCTGAAATGGCAGACACTACAGGTCGCCCGGGGCCTGTGCTTCTCCACACAGCCCTGTGCTGGCGTCTCCGAGTCCCATAAAGGACCCGCCCTCCCCTTGTGTGCTGGGTATGGGTTATGGGACAGTCATCCTCCACCCAACAGCCCACTCTCGGAACTGGCTGTCCTGGCCAGATATTGTGCCTAGACAAAGACCCTGCGGCCCACACCCTGAGGCGTGCTGTGGGCCCCCCTCACTGGTGGGCCCTCGTCCACACTGTGCTACCCCATGTGGCCTCCAGATGTCAGATGTGAAGACAGGTGAGCAAAGCACTTTACTTTTCATGTTTAATAACTTTCAGTGCTTGCGTGTATTAACCAGAGGATCCATCCTGAGTTTTTGGAGGACCACACGCAGATCCGTGCATGTAAATATTAGCTTCCGTTTCTGAACTGGAAAATGGGTTGTAACGGACACGTCTCACCAAACCACTCCTGTCTGTCTCAAAACGCTCTAGCCCTTTCTGGAAGGGGCTACAAATGGTTCAGACAAGTCTCTGTGCCAGGGTGTCCGGTGTCTGGACCATGCGTTGTTAAGCATCGGCCTGGCAGGTACTGTCTCTCCCAACTGCTTGCTGCGGTGGGAAGGGGTCACAGGGCACTGGTAACACTGGATGGTACATCTGAGGGATAAAGGGCCCTAGGTGTTCTGAGCAGCAGCAGTCCTGATTAGCTGTCCCTTTCCTGGGGACTGAGTGCTGCTAGAAGAAATGCAATACCCGACATATGACACCAGTTTGACCAGCAGGGGCCCACTGCCCAGCTTCCGCCCCAGCAACCTGCAGCTGTGTGCTGCCCAGGGATGGGGGCCAGCAGGGTGGGGCATAGCTCCGGGCAGGCAGGCCTACAAGTCTCATGCTCGGAGGCCTGGCTGTAAGAGGTGAGCCTGGAACACACACCTGCCAGTACCTGGCCTGTCAGGGTCTCTGGTGCCCTCAGGTGGCCCCCGGGAGGAAGAGCAGGGTGTAGGAAGGGCGAGGACCCAGGCTGGAAGCTGTGGGGTGGGGTGGGAGCAGGGCTTCCCCTTCCCAGCAGTGCAGTGGGGCCTGATTTGGGCGAACAGATACATGTGGTAACCCCTGCCAGAGCCCACCCCTTTGTACACAGGCCTCCCCAGTGCCCGGTCACCTTGGCCTGCTTTTGTCCCTGTGGCTCCAGCCTTCTCCGTGTCAGGCTGTCTTTACCCAGAAAGATGCATTCGCGCGTGGTGTGTGTGAGCCAGCAGTTTGCTCCTTCTCACTGCCGAGCAGCAGACAAAGCTGCACCGTTTATTCGGCAGTTGACGGGTATCTGAGTTGTTTCAGGTTTGGGCCATCTCTGAAGAATCACTACAGACATTTGTATCCAGGTTTTTGTGTAGACATCTGTCTTCATTTCTCTGGGGTAAACAGGAGACACTGGCTGGGTCACATGTTAGTTCTGTGTTTGTAAAAGCAGAACACTGCCACCTCATCAAAGAAGAGGCACAGCTGGCAAACAGGCCGATGAAAAATGTGCACACCCTAGGTCATTAGGGAGCAGTGAACTAAGAAAGTGCCCCTGCACACCTGTCCAGTGACCAAAGCCCAGAATACCAATGCCGGGCGCTGGCGAGGCCGTCAGCTCAGATGCTGTCATCACCAGCCACCTGTGAAGACAGTTTCTTACGAAACAAAACATCCCTCTAGCATGGGCTCTAACAATCAAGCATTACCTAAAGGAACTGAAACTCTTGTCCATGCAAAAGCCCGCACACGTTCATAGCAGCTTTATGAATAATCACAAAGACCCAAAAGCAGGCGAAGACAGCTCCTGTAAGGGACAAACAACTGATACATCCAGACAGTGGAGCACCGTTCAGTGCTAAAAAGCCACGAGCTTCCAAGTCCTGAAACGAGGTGGATCTTGGATGTGCATCACGTGAGAGAAGCCAATCCAGAAAGGCTACGTCCTGTGTGATTCCAACTGTCCGGGGAAGAGGCAAAACCATGGAGATGGAAGGGACCAGGGGAGGCAGAGCGCAGAGTCAGTGAATTCTGGGCTTCAGGAATTGTACATGTGTCACTGTTGAAGCCCACAACAGTGTGCTGCGGTGTCAGACATGGGAGATGAGTAGGCATGGGGCTCCTCCCTCTGCCAAGGGTCAGGCCCTGATGAGAGGCATCCTGCAGCACCCTTGCCCTTACCCAAGTGTGGACTTGAGGACAGACACCACCCAGGCAACAGAAGGCAGCCCAGCCAGACACCAAACCTGTCCGCACGGTGACCTTGGACTTTGGCCTCCAGTGCAGTGAGAAGAGTACCTGTTGTGTGTGAATTAGGCTGTCTGTGGTGTTCTGTTACAGTAGCACAGAACAGGACTGCTGGTCCCATTAAAACTCTGAACTTTGGTCCAGAAAATTCATCAGCTGTGACAAATCTTGGAAGGTTGGGCATGGGGAGGTTTGGGCACGGGGGAACTGTATTTTCTGTTCAGTTTTACCAGAGATCAAAAAATTGTCTATTAAAAAGTTAGAAAAAAATCCATACCCACCAACCTCCTCAGCTGCACCAGGTGTCCCACTTCTTCTTGCTTTTGGCCATTCTAAAGGCGAGTTTTAGTTTGCTTTCCCTTGTGACATGACGCGAGCAGTTTCTCCCGTGCACCTCTGCCATCTGGGGAGCCGCCTGGTGCAGGCTCGGGCCACCTTGCGGGCCACTTGGCTGCTGCGCTGTGCTCGGCTCGCCTTCCATATGGGGCTTGCAGAGCTGCCAGACTTTCTCCTTGCAGTCCGCGTCGTGTCGTAGCTGGGTGTTCTGCTTTTTATCTTTTTTTGCAGTACTAGGGGTTGAATTGAGGGCTTCACACATGCTGGGCAAGTGCTCCAGCACTGGGCAATGCCCTAGCCCTTTTATTTATTTTTGTCAAACAAGACTAGTAAAAACCCCTTCCCTTGGAGAACCTAACTGGTTCATCCAAAGCCGGTGGCTGAGAGACTGATGATGTTTGGCAGATGCTGTTCACGGCTTAGTGCAGGTCAGCGCAGTGTATCCCTGGCTGCTGCCCACTCAGAGCCTGGCTCCTGAGGACTCCTGCTGTGTGCTTCTCAGTGCATGGCTCCTGACCAGGCCTGTCGGGACTAGCAAGGCACACTTTCGTGGCTGAGTCAACAGGTGCTCTGTCCGGGCCGCCCCGCCCCCCGCCCCCAGCCCTGCAGTTGTGAGCAGACACCCAGCTCGCCACAATGCCTGTCTACTCACAGCAGGAATGGGAAACACCCTGAAACGTGTGTGAAGAATTCTGCTCTTGCACAGCCGTCTTGGTCTACAAGGCTCCCCTAGCTTGCATAGAGGACATGCTATGTGCAGGACCCTGGAGGTCCCATGGCGGGAAGCACGCGTGAACCCTGAGTTCTGCAGAGTGGGTTTCGTGGCCTCTACTGGCAGCTTTTTAACATTTCATTACTTTGAACAAGTGACACCTGGCTGCCAGCAGCTCGCCTGAAAGCCAGGCCGGGTTTTATTTCCCCTCCTCCTTTCACAGGGCATGTCTCAGGCGGTAGCAGGCAGCAGCCCCAAGCGCACCCTCACCCCCTCACCCGATCTGCTTTTCAGGACTGTCTACCTATGTGGGCTAAATGTACTGATATTACTGTATTAGAAACTAATGTATGAGAAATTGAAAGAAACATTTAAAACATATTAACTAAAAATAGGGATGTGGTGTAGCTCAGTGGCAGAGGACTTGCCTGACATGGGTCATACTAGGTTCAAACCCCAGCACTGAAGACAAGACCTCACATAAATAAAAATTTTAGTGAAAAATAGCTATATTTTCCCAAGGTGAATTTTTAAATGAAATTAAGTTTTAAAAACAAGCATTACTAAACAGGACAATGTCCACCAAGATGACAGATTTGCAAAGCGTATAACTTCATGAATCAGGATATTCCAAAAATTATTACACAGGAGCTAAAATGAAAGACTTAGCTCTATTATGTCAACATGAATAAATCTGGAAAACCATGTTGAATAAAATACTTCTGTACTTTTTTTGAAACTAAGGAACATACAAATTTCACGTATTCTTAGTAAATTATGAAGCAAGCAGGAGAAGCCACCTAGATACAACAAAGCTCAGCCCCGGGAGGACAAGAGGTGGAGAAGACGGGTGTAGGCCCACCATGTGTGGACTGTTTTAAGTCCCTAAACTGTCAAAGATCTGAAGCAAACAAATATTAAACTGAGCAAAAGCAAACGCGAAGGATCGTGGCGGAGTTACAGCCCGGCTAGACCGGCTCACGGCAGCAGCCAGCTCCGCACCGTGGACACACGGGGTCAGCGCGGGCAGGAAGGCACGGTGTCTCCGCGCTGCGACGCCGGCGCGGGGATATCCGAGGCCGGGAGACCGCGGCCCCAGCAGCCCTGCTCGGGGGAGCATGAAGCAAACGGGGGCGGGCTGCAGCTCCCCGGGCACTCGCCGGCCGTTAGTTCACGTCACATTAACTCCCGCTGACGCTTCCTAGCTCCGGTCACCAGGCTCCCTCCTACCTTGGTAACCTCTGACTGTCGCCTCTATGCCAGGCCCCGGATGCCTGCTCTGGGAGAACGCGCGTCAGAAGGGCCGGCTTCCCGGGCGCCGGGGGCCGCGGCTGCAGGGCAGTCGCGTGGACACCGGCCCCGGGATCGTCCCAGCCGAAACCCCGGACACGGCTGTGCGTCGCCTGGCACCCCCGCCCCCCACCCGGTCCCACTCCGGGTCTCCGCCTGCGCCCGGCACCGCTCCGTGGGGTCTCCTCGGCCCTAGGGTGGCCGGCGCGGTGGGCTTGCGCCGCGCCGCCCCCGCCAGCGCCGCCAGGGGCCGTCGCCGCTCCCCAATGACACAGCAACAATAGGGGCCGCTCTGGCCCGCGCGCCGCGAGTGCGCGCTTCCGCCGGAAAGGAGCCGCCGGCGCGGGGGCGGGCCGTGGCCGTGTTGGCGCGACGGACGGCCGCGAAGACCAATCGAGAATGTGACGGGGCTGGCCGCGCGGCAGATGAGGCCCAATCGGCGACGAGAACGGTAGGGAGGCGGGCCGAGCGCGGGTTTCCGGCGGGGCCCGGCAGGAGCCGAGGAGGAAGAGCGATCCCGGACAGCGTCTCTCGGCCGAGTGTGGGCGCAACCAGGTTCGGGGCCGGGCTCAGGGCGGGCGGGGTCCTCAGGTCTCTCCAGGGTCTCCTCGCCAGCGCGGCCCGCGCATCGGGCATGGGCTCGGCGGGCGCCCGCGGAGGCCGAGCGAGACGCCCCGGTCTGGCTGCGCGAGGAGGCAGGACGCAGGCAGCCGAGCGGCGCCCCGAGGCGGCGCCCCGCAGAGACGATGTCAGCGGGGCTGCAGCCGGGCTTGAAGGCGGGAGGCGTCGCTGACGTCTCAGGGCTCGGGAATCAGAAGCGTGGTGCGGTTTAGGTGTATTTAAGGAAGGGCAAGGAAGCCCGCACCTGGCCCGGTTGGGCCGGCGCGAAGTCTCGGTCGGCCGGAGGCGGGCCCTGTGGACTGGGTAGTCCGGCTTGCGGGCAGCGCTGGCGCCTGCGCCCCGACCCAGGGCGCGGCTGCGACACCCCCAGGAGGGAATCTGGCTTTCGGCGACGGTGCCCACACGGCGGCACGCCGGGCCTCACTGCCCCTCTGTGCTCTTTCAGAATGACGACTTCAGGCGCTCTCTTCCCGAGCCTGGTGCCCGGCTCTCGAGGGTCCTCCAACAAGTATCTGGTGGAGTTTCGGGCAGGAAAAATGTCTTTAAAAGGAACTACAGTCACCCCAGATAAACGAAAAGGGCTCGTATACATCCAGCAGACTGACGACTCCCTCATTCACTTCTGCTGGAAAGACAGGACCTCCGGGACCGTGGAGGATGTGAGTGCCTTCGGAACAGGGCAGTGTCACAGGCTGGCCAGGCACCTGCTGTTTCCTGGCTTGGAGGACCTTGGAGGGCAGGGGGGATCCCTGGCCGGTACTGCGATCTGCTTTCTCCAGGCTGGCAGAGACTGCTCCCGCTGCTGTAGTCACACGTTGTGCAGTGACTTTAGGACCAAAGGTTTCACGGTTGGTGACATTTGGTTCACCTGATGACAAGCCCAGTGGAAGGCACTTCTCAGCCTGTGTCCCTGGTGCCTGGCGCTGTAGTTGTGTAGAAATCCTGACCTTCACAGCCCTCAGGAAGAAGTTATGTCACTTTTCTGTAGCTCCCCTCGAGAGCCAGTCACAGCTGACCCCTCATCTTGGAGTCCAGTTCTCAGGCGTTTGCTAAAGTCCTTAAGAGTTGGCAGTCCCCGTCCAAGCCCCTTTCGAGGTGTCTCTGACCATGACTTAGCACCTCTGGGGACCGCTTGGTGACCTGCCATTGCAGGGCCTGCGGACTTCCTGAGGCTGGGGCCTCACCAGTGCGCGGGCTGACCGTCCCACTCTTGTGGTTGTCAGGACCTGATCATCTTCCCTGATGACTGCGAGTTCAAGCGTGTGCCTCAGTGCCCTAGTGGGAGGGTCTACGTGCTCAAGTTTAAGGCAGGGTCCAAGCGGCTCTTCTTTTGGATGCAGGTACCTGGCAGGGTTTGTTCAGTGTTTGTCCTCTTTTTTTTCCATTGTGCAATCCAGGGTGCTGCGTGGTAGTGGACTGTGGCACACACTTGGGGTGCTGAGATGCGTTACAGGTGGTGGGCAGTAGGCGGGCTTTCCCATCTGAGGTGTGTGGCTGGGCTCCCGGGACCCTGCACGGTGTGCTCTCTGCCTCTGAGGCGTCCACAGCAGGAGCACTGTTCCTGGTCCATCTCTGCTCCCTTGCTGTCCGTCGCGGAGGTGGGAGTAACTTTGGGGAGCACAGGGGTCTCCTTGCTGTGTTTCTCAGTGTGGAGCTTCCCCCCCCAACTCCCTCACAGCCTGCACTGGAAGCCTGAGAATGTCACCGCAGGTTCCCTCTTACCCTAGCTGCTGTGGGAGCCACCACCCATTCTGCCACCTGTTGGCGGCCATCAGGCACATTTCCATTTCTTGCTGTGTCACAAGCAGTACTGCACGGAAGGACCTGGGATACAGGTCTTTCCTGGGCATGAGTGTGACTGGAGGTCAGGCTGTGAGCGGCGGCGCGGTCAGAAACACGTGCATGGGCTTGCAGTTGGGACGAATGTTGTTCCAGGCCCTCTGCAGACGCTGGACTGCTGCCCAATCCCACACTGTCCCAAGGGAAATCAGCTGAGGACCTTAGCGTGGTGGGTGTGGCCCGGTTCCAGTAAACTTATTTACAAACAGGAGTGGGCGTGGTTTGCCAGCTGCTGAAGCTTTACTGTGTTGTTGGACTTTCATCCACTTCTTTGTACCTATTCTGCCTGGATTTACTCATTTGAAGCTTTCCTTGCCCAGTTACCAGGCAGACAGGGACTCTGTACCCTGAGGCTTACAAGGTTCATAGCAGGTGCTCGGGGGTGATGTGGGTGCTGTTTGCAGTTTTTTCTTGGTACCAGGGAGCGAACTCAACCTCACACTTGCCAGGCAGGCGCTTGTGCCACTGAGCCCTGGCCCACTGTTTGCAGTTCGGGGGCACCTGTGGAGTGAGCTGTGTGAGGGCCCTGTTCGCCCTCCACTGGTTCACATCCACTGGTTGAGGGCAGAAGGCAGCTGAGGGCTTGGCCTGCTGGCTGTAGAGCCCTGCCCTCCCCACCTGTGATGGTAGCCAGTGAGGATGGCAGAGTCCCCAGGAGGTGCTGCTGTGGCCCCTCCAGCCACGAGGGCCGGCCTGTCTGTGCTGTGGGCTATGCCCAGGGCCCTAACCCGGCAGGAGGCTGCCAGCCCTGCGCATGGGCTGCTCAGCTGGGGTTCTTCCCATGTCCTTCCCTGCAGGAGCCCAAGACTGACCAGGATGAGGAGCACTGCCGGAAGGTCAACGAGTATCTCAACAACCCCCCAATGCCCGGGGCACTGGGGACAAGCGGAAGCGGAGGCCACGAGCTCTCTGCACTGGGCGGTAACGGTTCTTTGGGCCCTAGCAGTGCAGGCCAGTGTTTCCTTGAGTTTGTCACCAGGGTACTCTGACATCCCGAGTCAGTGTTTTCTAAGCAACTAGTAGATAAGGCATTAGGGCGCTTGTCCTACCCTGTCTTCGCTGGGTGAGGCACTGCTTCCTGCCGGGCACTGCTGCCCCATAGTCCCCACACAGGCTGGGCCCAGGCTGCAGACCCCCCCAGTCTTAACCCCGTGTTTTCCAGGGGAGGGCGGCCTGCAGAGCCTGCTGGGGAACATGAGTCACAGCCAGCTCATGCAGCTCATCGGACCGGCCGGCCTTGGAGGACTGGGTAGGCTGCCGCCCCGGCCCTCGGAAGCGGCCCTTTTCCCTGTGCTCAGGTTCACACCTGGGTCCCCTTGAAGTGTTTGTTGGTGCTGGCTGAGCAGCATCTGGGTTCATTTCCTATGGGAGCTGGCAGGGGGCGGGGGCTCTCCAGGACCCTGGGAGGACCCCAGCTCGGAATTCAGGGCCCAGCTTGCTGTGGGCAGGGCTGGAGGGGGTGAACTCCGGGTTCTGCCTGGGGTTCCCAGGCTGGCCTGCCACCAGCAGCTCATGTATGGCCTAGGTCCCTGTGTTGGACACTGGGGAGGTGGTTTGGCCCACTGGCCAGGATTTGGCCTGAATCGCAGGGTGGGATAGGCAGGACGGAAGCAGCGTGGCTCCAGAGTAACCCTTGAGGCCGAGGGCTTGGAGCTGTCACCTTTGCTGCCTGACCTGGCCTGCCTGCCACCCATGTTCACTGCCCTCCCTGCACTTGCCCCTCGGGCTGGGGTTGGTGCAGCCTGTGCAGGTAGGCTAGGCCCGTTCTGGGTGGGCAGACCGGGGTATCACTAGCACACGTCTCCTTGCTCCTTGTAGGTGGGCTTGGGGCCCTGACCGGGCCAGGCCTGGCCAGCTTACTGGGGAGCGGCGGGCCTCCAGCAAGCAGCTCCTCATCCAGGTGAGCTCCCCAGCCCATACTAGCCCGTCAGCACTATGCCCTCCTTCCCTTCCACGGACCCCACATGGAAGCCTGGGGAGCCAGTGTGGCCACCCCTCTTCCCTGGAGTGGGTCCGGCCCCATGTGGAACAGGCACTGCAGCTCTGCCCTCGCTCTCCCCCCAGCTCCCGGAGCCAGTCGGCAGCGGTCACCCCATCCTCTACCACCTCCTCCACCCGCGCCACCCCAGCCCCTTCTGCCCCAGCAGCTGCCTCAGCCAGCAGCCCGAGTCCTGCGCCCAGCTCAGGTAACGGAACCAGCACGGCAGCCAGCCCTACCCAGCCCATCCAGCTGAGCGACCTCCAGAATATCCTGGCCACTATGAATGTGCCAGCCGGGCCAGGCAGCGGCCAGCAAGGTAAAGAGCGTGTGGAGGGGGCCAGGCTGCTGCCCCGTGCCTGCTCCCTGACCCTCCAAGTCCCCAGTTGCTGCCCTATTGAGTCCTGTGTCCCTCACACTGCACGGCCACTACCTGGGCCAGCACTGATGCTATGCACTTGTGCCCTAGTGGACCTGGCCAGTGTGCTGACGCCCGAGATCATGGCACCCATCCTCGCCAACGCGGATGTCCAGGAGCGCCTGCTGCCCTATCTGCCCTCCGGGGAGTCCCTGCCCCAGACTGCGGATGAGATCCAGAACACGCTGACCTCGCCTCAGTTCCAGCAGGTACAGCAGTGGGGAGGGGGTGTGGCCCCAGGAAAGCAGTGCCAGGCTCTGCCCACACCGAGGCAACGCGGCTCTGCTGGAGCTGTGACGCCGACACACAGTGCAGCCCTGGCTCTCCTCACAGGCCCTGGGCATGTTCAGTGCAGCCTTGGCTTCCGGGCAGCTGGGGCCCCTCATGTGCCAGTTCGGGCTGCCCGCGGAGGCGGTAGAGGCTGCCAACAAGGGTGGTAAGTGCCCACTTCCTCCTTGCCCCCTCATGGTGCAGGGTGGAGCTGACCCTGCCAGTGCCTTCCAGCTTGGACCTCCCATCCCTGTTGGGTACAGCCCTGGCAGAGAGGTGCAGCCGTGTCTCAAATGTGTTTCAGATGTAGAAGCATTTGCCAAAGCTATGCAGAACAATGCCAAATCTGAGCAGAAAGAGGGCAACACAAAGGACAAGAAAGACGAAGAAGAGGACATGAGTCTCGATTAAGTTATTTGCTGTCTTTCGAGGAAGTGCGCTCTTAGTCATGTGACTCCTGTAGTGGCGGTTGTGATTCGTTGCATCCCCTGTCCTGTTCCGACTTACTAATAAATAAAGGTCCTTTCTTTTACCTGCCACCTCTGGCCCTACTGTCCCCGGCATGAGTGGCGCGGTTCCTCCCTTGCCTGTGTGGCCCAGAGCCGGCTCTGGGCTGGGGGCAGTGCCCATTCCTGGGTGCTTGGCCCCCGTCCCCGGTTTACCCCAAAAGCTGATGCTCACTCAGCTGAACAGGGTACTTTAATTTTTGTCTTGAACCAGTGATGTTACACATCTCACACTCAGACTGGTGGGAGGGACGTAAAAGTATAAAAGCCCATTTTATAGGATGCTACCCTTTCACTGAGAAAGATAATTTAATCCGTTTCCAGAAACAGGGCCAGTCACTGGGAGACTCCAAAGACCCAGAAGGTGGCCCATGAAACCCACTGAAGGTGGTGGTGCTGTGGGCTGGGGGTGCAGCCTGGCATGCCCCCCGTGTGGCGAGGAGCTGCTGGAGGCTGGCCTGTCCCCTATGTCGCCGGGCAGCCGCTGGCCCCAGCCGCCCCCTGGACGCCTGCCAGGCTGGTCAGGGCGAGGGGGGATCCGTTCACCAGCAGCTTCCTCATGCAGCCTCCGTAGGCGGGGAGCCCGGACTCTGGGGTGGAGAGGTTAGGTTGGGGGTGGCAGCCAGGTCCCACAGGGCCTGCCTGTGTGCCAGTCAGCCGCCCAGCCGCCCCTCTGGAGGAGTGGGGCGCACCCTCACCGGGCAGGCCCCCAAGATGCAAAGGGGCTGGGCCGTCGGCCATGGCCGCCGCCAGGGGGCCCTCGGTGTGGTTGCTCTGAGCGTCCACCTCCAGCCGGAGCACGTTCTCGTCCTTGGTGGCTGCGGGAGACTCCTGTGGGTGACCCCGGCCCCACCACGGTCCCCCCAGCTGCAGCCCGGGCCATGGGAGTGACCGCTCACCTGCCAGTCGGTGCCACTGAGCGTCACACAGTGCCACGGGGTGTGTCACCCATGTGGAGAACTCACCCTCACCATCATCCGCTTGCAGCAAGACCTGAGGCAGGCGAGAGTCATCAGGCTTGCTGCCCGAGGTCCCCGGAGTTGGGGACCCCGTCCTGGCGCCCCGACCCTGCTCACCTGCTTCCTGGACACCTGCAGCTGCAAGTAGGGAGGGCCCCGGGCCGGGCCCAGGCGGAGGACGAGCCCAGCGGCCGTGGAGGGCCGGACCTCCAGCTCCAGCCTCACGTGGTGCAGTGTGGCCACGGGCGGCTCTGCGGGGACAGGCCTGGTCAGCAGGCAGGACAGGACAGTGGCCCCGGCCAGGGCCCCTGGGCACCCTCAGACCTGCAGTGATGACTCCTCCAGTGCCTGGGAAGAACAGGCCGCTCTCCAGAGGGCCCGAGAAGCAGGGCGTCACCCCCACCACCCGCGTGGGGGCCCCCACGGGCCGCCCGTCCAGCTGCAGTCTCTTCACACAGCCGCTGAGCCCCGCGGCCACCTGTGGGCAACAAAGGGCTGGAGTCGGGCTGGGCGCACTGAGGGGGCACCGTGGGGTACGGCAGGAGGGTTCTCACCGGCAGGCGGGAGCTGGGGCTACGGGCGGGGAGGCCCCCCACGAAGAGGGTGTGGGGCTGCAGGGGCACTTCGATGCGGCTGGGGCCAGGATGGTGATGGCTCCAGGCCGGGACACCGTCAGTCAGGAGATGCAGCTGCCCCTCCTCCCAGCGCAGGGAGACCTGAGGCAGGAGACGGCCAGTCAGGCGGGGGTACCACGGCCGGGCAGGAGGGGGCGCCGGGGCCCTGCCCGTGTCCCATCCCCAGCTCCTCACCGTGTGCCACCTGCCAGCTCGCGAGCGCTGGCGGCTCTGGACGCGCAGGCGGGGCCCAGGCCCTTCTGTTCGTGCAACAAACTGTCCGTGGCTCAGGAAGAGGGTCAGGGAGGGGCTGCTGGCCGCTAGAGGGGCCACAAGGAGCAGGAGGCCCTGGGGCGCTCGAGGGCGGACCAGCATGGACAGGCGGAACCTGGAAGCCAAGCACAGCGTCAGCCTCAGCGGCCACTCCAAAGCTGCCCGCCTGGCTGGGCCTTACCGGTTCCTGCGGGGGTCCAGGAGGCCTTCAAACTCCAGGAAACTGGGGAGGGGCCCCCCAAACTGGAAGGTGTCTTGGGTCATCCTGAGGTGCAGAGGTGACATGCAAGCAGGGTCCTGCCTGGGCTGGCGGCTGCGGCGGGAGGCCTGGAGGAAGGGCACAGATGGCAGCCCCTGTCTCGGTTGCCCCTTGCCCACCCGGCTGTCCCGGGGCACCCCGTGCCTCACCTTACGAGCCACAGCCCGCAGCCCTCGGGCTCTCTGGCCCGAGGCCCTGGGGAGCGGGACCAGGGCACAGCCTGTGCTCACGTTGGTGCTGCCCAGGTTCTGCTGCAGGTCGAACACTCGCTGCGGACCCTGGAGCCTGGGCGAGTGCGGGCGGCAGTCAGCGGCAGGCAGGACGCAGCGGGCCTCACCTCCTTGCCCACCACTCACCGCTGCACGAAGACATTGCTGATGCAGCCGCTGAAGTTGCGGAAGGAGGCAGCGGCCTCCGACAGGCCCCCCAGGAGGAGCTGGGGGGGCTCCTCGGGCGGGGACGGGTGCTGCCTGGGAGGCGCCCCCCGGTGAGGCCGCATCTGCTGCAGCTGGTCATCCACGTACAGCCAGACCCTGGCGGCACAAGGGAAACGTTCCCGGGCCTGCAGGGCCAGCCGGCCCGGGGAGCACAGGGGGCCCAAGCCGCACGGCTCACCCTGAGGCGTTGCTGTAGAAGGCCGCGTAGTGGGGGGCGCCGTCGCTGAACACCCCTGGTGTCCTCAGCTCTGTCCTCATCAGCCTCAGGGTGACGTGGCCTTGTTGCAGGGACACCTGGCACAGGCCATCCTGGGAAGGGCGAGCAGGCCAAACTACAGACTGTCCTCCTCCCTTCCTCCCTTTCTCCCTGCGGCCACTTTGGGCTGCCTGTCACAGCAGGCAGGGAGCAGGCAGAGGTCACACCGGGCAGGACGAGGCCCAGGGAGGGCCACAGGATGGCAGGCAGGGTGGCCTCACCAGGGATGCACGGTGGTAGAGCAGACCATTGTCCTGGGTGCTGCGGAAGCCAATGCCTGAGTAGACGTCGCCGGTGAGGGGTGGCACTTCGGGCAGCGCCAGGGGCAGGAAGCCATGGCCGTAGAAAGTCATGGTGCGTCCCACCTGTGGGGAGGGGAGCCTTGAATGCCGACCTCGGCCCAAGAGGTCGGTGTGCACCCTGGCGGCAGGGGGGTGGCTCACCAGCAGGTCCGCGGTGCAGCCGGAGCTGACCCCTGTGGTGTTCAGCCTCTTGAGGTCCACGTATTTGCCCAGAGCCTTGATCCCCTTGATGCAGCCGCGGATGGAGCCCCCAGAGGGGAACAGCTGCTGCAGACTGCAGGGGTCACACCCAGGGTCAGGCCTCTCTGAGCCCCAGCCCTGGGATGCCCCAGGTGCCACCCTGCCCAGCCCGGCCTCACCTTGGGGGCAGCTGATCAGGCGGCACACCCCCCAGGTAGTAGGCAGTGGCCAGGTCCAGTGTGTTGTCCTGCTCCACGCTGAACACTGTGGTCCTCTCCACACGTACCAGCATGCGTTTGCGGCTGCCCGCCAGCAGAAACACCTGGATCTGTGGGTGCAGGTGGGGGCATCAGGCCACGCGGCGTCCCAGGGCCCTCCCTGACCACAGTGCCCCCACTCACCGCCTTGCTGGCTGTGGTCAGGGGCGGGGGTGGCTGCATCGGGACGGCCTCCTTCAGACCTGCGCCCAGGTCGTACAGGAGCACGAGGCTGCCTTTGCGCACTGCCAGGCACAGGAACTGGCCCTAGGGGGACAAGGACAGGCCACGGTCAGCACGGGGCAAGGCTGGGTGGTGGGTGGGAGGGGCGGGGCCGTGCCTGGTGCTGCAGGAAGAAGATGATGCCGCTGTAGGACACGAGCCGCAGCTCCTGGTCGAAACGCTTCGTGGTGCTCATCTGCCTCTCGAAGCTGACGTGGGCGAAGCCGGTGCCATCCAGGTAGGACCCGTCCGTGAGCCATGGGTCCCCTGTCGACTTGGAACTGTGGGTTAGAGGGTTCAGGTCAGTGTGGAGGGTGAGGGGTGAAGGGTTGGGGAGCACATGGGGCCAGGCTGTACGTACCGGGCACAAGGCCTGTCCACAGCTGTGTCCACCCGGAAGGTCCTCTCGAAGTTGTAGAGACTGACCACCTCCTCATTCAGCGTGTCCAATTCGATGCAGCCCACGTAGCCAGGGAAGCGGAGGGGTGCAGGGGGCTGTGGGCACAATGGACAGTCAGGGCACCCCAGCCACCCGGGGAAGACCAGCAGGATGCTGAGACGCCACGCCAAGAAGTACTTCTGCAAAGAGACAGCAGGGCGGGCCAGGCTCACCGTGAAGCTGCTGGGGTACCCGCCCACGTAGAAGATGAAGTCGTCAGGCTGCAGGCTGAGCAGCCCCTCCACCCCAGGGGCCACTGCATCCCCCTTGGTCTCCTGCACTATTGGCTCCTCCACCGTGACAGACATGTGGCCGAATTGGAGGGTCCTGGGGCAGAGGCGAAAGGCACGTGGTGAGGCGTGGGCACGGCAGTGGGAGGGTACTGCCCCTCCCCAGAGGCCTCGCACCTGTCAATGCTGATGGTTGCAAACTGCTCCCCGATGTCCTCGTCAATGCTGAGGGTCACAGGGCCAGCATCCCCCAGCCGGTACACCCAGTGCACCTTCTGCTTTCGCAGAGCTACTCCCATGTAGTCCCCGGTGGCCTGCAGCAGCGGCAATCACACCCTTGGGTCAGGCACCAAGCAGCACCCACACTTCCAACCTGGCGGTCAGCTTACCCTGTCCTCCCGCCCTGTCTGTACCTGGCGGCTGCCCATGTACAATACAAAGCGGTCACCGGCCTCCTGCCCGGATTCTGGCGCCAGCTCAGGGCTCTGCAGGTGGAACCTGAGGGCAGTGTAGGCTGCAAGGTCGGCGAGGTCCCGTGGGGTGCGCAGCTGTACCCCCGAACGGCCGTTGAACTTCATGGACACTCTGACCTGGAGGTGCAGGCACATCAGCACTCTCCATCTGGTCTCCCACACACTGCTGCCCCCGCCCCCCTACCCACCTTGCTGGCAGCCCCCCGGGCCTGAGCGATGAGCTCCCGCACACGACCGATGCTGGCGGACAAGGCCAGGCTGGCGTTGTGCGTGCCTCGGTTCTCCAGCAGGCTCAGCTTGGCTAGCAGCTGTGGCAGCGTCTTCTCCAGGGAGGACACTGTGGGCACAGCATGGGCACAGGGTGTGTGCTGGAGCCCGGACCGCCTCCTCTCCAGGGGCCCCGGGACCGCCAGCTCACCTGAGTGGCCTGCATCAAGCACCACCTGGCCCAGGTCCTGTCCTCGCAGGCCCCCAAACTGGCCCTGCCACTGCTCCAGGTTTCTCTGCATGTCCTGAAGCTGGGCCTGCACTCGAGCGGCAGTGTCCTGGGCTTCAGCAGCCATGGCCTTGGCACGGGCGAGCTTCTTGCTTGTCTCGTCTATGGTGGGCACAGAGCATGCGGGCTGGAGCACTCCGGCTTCGTGTCCCACAGCCCCCCGAAGAGCCAGAGCGGGAACTTTTGTGCCTCTCACACCCTGCAACTCAGTGTTGTCAAAGTGACCTCAGCACCCACTTGACGGCCCTCCCTGAAATGGTGCTTGTACCACCTTCCTAGCCCTCGGACTGATGCCAGCTCCGGGGCCTACCCGGGCCTCCGAGGCTCCAGCCCAGACCTGCTAGGGACATCAGCTGGCACAGGGACCCTCCAGGACCCAGACAGACTCCGCCCCCTCACTCTAAGTCCTGTCCAAGTGGTGGCCAGGACCCTGCCGCTCGAGGAGGCCTCCACTGACCCCTCAGCTCCAGTTGCATTGCTCCCACCCTGGCGGCTATATCTGGCCAGCTATCCCCTTCGTGAGAGCTGAGAGCAAGCACCTTGTGATCCAGCCTAGCCCACATGCCGCACATGGTCAACAGCTGAACCGCGATAACACAGGTGCGAACGTGTCCACTGTCACAGAGCTACATTGCCAGCCAGCTGGAGTGCCACCTCAGGCCAAGGGCCTCTTCCCGTGAGGATAAACGACAAGCTCCACATACCTGTGTGCATGGCCAGCATGGCCTGTACCTCCTGGATTCGGGCCACAAGCTGGTCCTTCGCGGCCTGGATGTCCTCGAGCTGAGTCCTGGTATCCTGCAGGGTGACCCGCACTGCGGGGGAGGCAGGCTCAGCGGTGAGGAGCCGGGGCCAGGCCACCTGGCCCCAGGAGACTGAGACCCCATACTCGTTAGATAGGGGTGCCGTTCTGGCTGTGACCCCTTGGACAATATCAAAGCAGGCGGCCAGTGCCTACCGGGCCCTGGGGTCGGAGCCCTAGAGCAGGAGGGGAGCAGAATTCACACACAGGGCTGCCAGCTCCATTCCTGCCCTGAATCACAGGGGAATCACAGGGGAACAACCCACAGACCCCACACAGATCTGGTCCACAGTCCACGGTCCCCGAGGAGTCCCAGGACTCACTGAGGCCCAACCTCTGCTGCTGCCCAAGCACGGCCTCCTCCAGGGCACTGCTGTTGGCCAGCAGCTGCTGGGCTCGGGCTGCTAGGCCCTGCTCCACCACGGTCTGCAGAAGGAGGACAAGATGGACATCACAGTCTCGGGGTGCCACAGGGCTCCCGCCACAGCCCCGGGGATATCAGGGCCTCACCTCCCAGGTGTGGCTCGCCTGCTGCCAGGCCTGGCCAGCGGAATCTTCGGCGGCCTGCATGGCCTTCAGGATGCTGCTGTAGGCATTGGAGGCCTCCACAGCCCTCTGGATGAAGCGGTCCTGGTTGATTCCAAGGATGATGCTGTGCAAAGCAGGAGGATCAGAGAGACCTGCGGATGTCGGGGGGCCACACACCCCTGGCCTGGCTGGCGACCTCTGCACCTTTCCTGCTCCTTCTTGCTGGCCTGGTCCCTGACTTGCTGTGAGCTGAGGAAGGTGGGCTCCTTCGGGGATGATGGCTTCTCCTCCCAAGGAGCCCCCCCAGACCAGCTGCCCCATCTTGGCCTGACTATACACACGGGACCAGGGCCGCACCCCCTGGGCCACACACCTGGACAGGTTGAGTGCTAGCTGGTTCAGCTGCTCGGCATGGGCCTCAGCAGTCTCCACCAAGTCCACCTTGCTGCCAGCTGGGGAGAAGGTCCTTATCTTCTCCAGCAGTGGCGTCCGGGCCCCATCCAGGCTGGCAGCCAGGTGCTCCAGGTCCTGGAGGTGGGTAGGCTTAGTGGGACACTCCTCGCGCCCTGTCCCTTCGCCCTGTTTACTGCCTCTGGGACAGAGGCTCTGCATGCACATATGCAGGAGCCAGCCACAGCCCTCGGACTGGGTGGCAGGGCCCCGGTGGGCCCTGCACTGTGCTCACCTCCTTGGCCCGCTCCATGCCCTGCAGGAGCTCGGAGACACGCGCCAGGGTGCGGCCAGCAGCCTCCAGAGTGGCCTTCAGGGTGGCGTTGTCCTGGGCCAGCTCCCGCTTGTGTTGCTGAAGGCAGGTTAAAGTGATGAGAATAAAGGATGTGACAGGCAGAGGGGCCACAGCAAAGAGGGCGAACAGAGGGCAAACGAGGACAGAGTCCCTCACCAGGGCTTCCTCCAGCCGTGCCTGGTTGCGGCTGTTGAGCTCCTCAGCCTCCCGAGTGATGCCCACGGCCCGGTTGAGGGCCTCCCGAAGGTCCATGAGGCCCGCCTCATGCTGAGCCAGCCCGTCGCGGATGTGTTTAGCCAGCACCTGGTTCTCCTCCCAACGGCTGGTCAGCTGCTCCTGCACACGGGCCAGCACTGGCCAGTGCCAGGGTGTGAGGACCGTTACTCTGGCAGCCAGATCCCTTTGTGACCCCTGGACCCTGCCCTGCCCCTGAAGGAGGCTGCTACAACTCCACACTGACTTGAGGCCCAGCGTCCTGAAACACACCCCTGCTTTCCCGACCGGTGGCCACCACTCACGCCTCTGGGCCTCCGCCAGCTCGACTTCTGCCACGGTCCGGGGGGCCCGGAAGTCACGGGCCCGCATCTCCTGCAGGAACTTATCCACCTCGGCCAGGGTCCTGCGCAGCTGCTCACCCGAAGGGGTCGATACGTTGGCTGGGGACACAAGGCCAACCTGGGACGCCAGCTCTGTGGGAAGGGAACCATCAAGGCCTGGGCCACTGGGACACTTTCAACAGGCCACCAGTCGTGGAGCACAGGAGCACTGACGGCTCTGAGTCTCAGCTGAGGGCCGAAGCTGCCTTCCCACAGTGCCCATGCCATGCACGGCACCTCACTGCTCCTCACTGGCCTTACTGGCCTCCTCTTGCTCACTGGGCAGTGCTCAGCTCAGTTCATCTCTTCTCCACCCTGGGGCTGGCCTGGTTCTGTAAGCTTACAGCTGCACCATAAGTTCTGGAAGCTCAGGGAACCCTAGCTTCCTGCTGGTCACAGGACTCAAGTGCATACCTAGAGTTCACCAGTGCGACTGTCCAACCAGTGCTTTCCCCTCGCCCCTGGTATCACGTCCTGGCCACATTAGCCCCTCGCCCACCTCTCACCTGCCCCACTATTCGTTGCAGACCAGCATGCAGGTCTTGCTGGCTCTTGAGGTCAAGCTCACGTGCAGGCCCCCAGGGAGTGTCCCCCACCCCCAGAAGCCCTGCCTGCACTGAGGATTGAGCAGCAGCCAGCATGGTTCAGCCATACCACTCAGGGCGCGGTCCACAGCCTGGATAGTCACCAGCAGTGTCTGTGCACGGCCCAGCATGCCCTCAGTACTGTCCAGCAGCCGGCCTGCCAGGTCTTGGGCCCCCGTGGCCTGTGGATGCAGAGTCCTTCAACCCACAGGTCTGAGGTGGGGACAGCTGGGCGAGGGTGCAGGTGACGGGAAGGGGCCGTCAGGGAGTGGGGAGAGGAGGGCTGGAGGGGACTTCTGGGGACAGCAGGTTCTCCCTGGAGGGGCACCCCAGGGGCACTCGGGAGGGGGACTCCAGGGTCCTGCCTGGCTGTCCAGCTGCTGTACATCCTGCTCCAAGTTCAGGCTCCGATGCTCCAGGGTCTGCAGCTGTTGCTCCACCTGGTAGCGGGGGCTCCGGAGCTGGTCCTATGGGGAACAGAGGCGGGGTGGGAGAGGGAGCTGCACTGCAGGGGCTGAGTGGAAGCAGGGCATCTGCACACCTGGGGGATGCAGTGTGTGGTACCTGGAGGTCGGTGATGGAGGCGTTCAGCCTGTGCAGCTGGGCCCAGGCAGCAGAGCTGGCGTTGACTCCACGCAGCTGCTCTCGGATGGCAGAGAAGAGGGCACCAGCCCGCTCCAAGTCGTCCAGGAGCAAAACCACACAGTGGTCACACACTGAGGGCACCAAAGGGTCATGGGTCAGCATAGTGGGCATGGATCAAGTAGAGGTCAGCACAGTAGGCCGGGATCCTGGCTCCACACCCAGGGTTGAGGGTCAGGGATCAGTATAGGGTCAGGAGTGTGGCAGATCACAAGGCTTGCCAGAGAAGCAGGGTCAGTGAAGGGTCACCAGACCACAAGGCTCACGGGCCTAGCAGTGGAGTCCAGGAGCTGGCACCAGAGACAGGGCCAAGCTGTAGGTGTGAAGGGTTGGGAGGACACCGGGCAGGCCCAGGAAGCGGGCCTCAGAACACAGTGCCGTTGGGGTCCTGGTCCGCACATGTGGCAGCAGATAGGGGTGCGGGGCTGGAGCCATGGCACTGACTTGGGAGCAGAGGGTGAGTGTGAAATCAGCAGGGGTCATGGGTCCCTACAGATAGGGACGGGGTCCTCTGGGAAAGTGGGGTGCTCTGGAGCACCAAGGCCAAGAGAGGCCACCAGGTGAGTGCAGGACTGAGACCCACACTGCTCCCAGGCACAGCTGGCAGGGCGGGGTGAGGAGAGGGACACACACGGGCCCCGTACCTTCGCAGTGGACACCTGGGCTGCTGGGACTGCCTGGCACGGGCACCTGGTGCTGCTGGCTGCAGGTGTCACAGCGCTCCCCACTGAGCCCTGGGGGACAGGTGCAGCGGCCTGTATGGGGGTCACAGTGGCCCCCTGGGCACTGGCAGCCTGTGGAGAGAGGGCGGGGTCAACATGGCTATGATGGTGGTGCCCGCCACCCTCCTGCCACCTGCCACCTGCCATACTCACGCCTACAGCCCCGCTCCGGGAGTCCCCAGTGGCCAGGGGCGCATTCATGACACTGGAGTCCCCCAGCTCCCGGTTGGCAGCGGCACTGCCCGCTCTGGGGGTGACACTCGGACCCCTCGGCAGCTGGTCCACATGCACAGGGCCGGCAGCCCTGACAGCCCTCAAAACCAAAGTGTCCCTCCTGCGGGCACAAGCTGCAGTCATGGCCCAGCCAGCTCCAAAGGCCCTTCTTCCTCCAGCCCTGAAAGTCAGGCCCTCTTCCTACCTGGCAGCGGTCACAGCGATGTCCAGTCACACCCGCCTTGCACAGGCAGCGGCCACTCTGGGGGTCACAAGCCTCCGTCCCGCACGGGGAGCAGTCACATGCTGCAGAAGAGGAGGCTGTGACGATACCGCCAGCCCGGGATGTCCTTACAGACTCCTCCCTGCACCCCATGCCACCCCCTGCCAGCCCTGCCCTCTGCGGCCAAGGGACCCGGGCTGACGATAAGCCAGGGCTGCACTACAGAGAGGGCCGTGCCCAGGGTGCCTACGGGTGCAGTTGCCGGGCAGCAGGGCGTTGCCGAAGAAGCCGGGGGCGCAGCTCTCGCACCGAGGGCCAGTGGTGTGGCGCAGGCAGCTGTGACAGGCACCCGTCAGGGGGTCACAGTCACTAAAGATCATGTTGGGGTCGCTGTTTCCACTGCAGTCGCAGGGCTGGCATGAGCTGCCCAGCACCAGGGGGTTCCCGAAGAAGCCGGGGGCACACCTGGGGTGGCGGTGAGGGGGCCGGTCAACATCCTGCACCCCATGCAGGAGCACCCTGGGGTCCACACACCAGCCCCCTGCCAGGCTCACCGCTCGCAGGAGGCCCCTGTGTAGCCAGGTCTGCAGAGGCACTGGGTGCGGCCACCTCGCAGGATGCAGCCCTCTGCGAAGCTGAGAGGCAGAGGTCATAAGCTCCTGGGCCAGCACTGAGCTCAGCTGCTGAGTGCTAAAGCCCGCATCTGGTGACCCCATCCCAGCTACCCTGGGTTCCCGATAGAGGGAAAAACAGTGGGGTTCCAGGAAGGAAGCGGAAAAGGGGGTCTGCCAGGCTGTTGGGAGTCTGGGCTCTGGATGGGCTGCTGCTTACTTGTTGGAAGGAACCGCCAGCGGGCAGGGGCAGCTGACGCAGGGGGCTGAGGGGTCCTCAGGCCTGCTCCGCACAAAGCCAGCCCGGCAGCGTTCGCAGCGGTCCCCCTCCGTGTTGTGCTGGCAGCCCTGGGCAGAGTGGATGGTGGGCGCTGATGCTGGAGGCCCCATTCCACCCTAGCCTGCCAGGGACTTCATGCCCCAGGCCCTGGGCCTCAGTGTGTCTGGAACCACAGCCTGAGAGGCCCCGGGCCTGGCCAGCCTGCCCCTGCCTTCAGTGGCTGCCCCTTCCCAGTGGGTCTGACTTACCACGCAGACACCAGAACCAGGGAGGCAGTGGTCAGAGTGGCCATGGCACTGACAGGGAACACATCGGCCCAGAAAAAGTCCTTTAACGTCCCGGTAGTAGCCTGGGGCACATTCCTGCAAAGCACAGGGGTAAAGGTAAAGCAGGCTGGGAAGACCAGGGAGCTGCTCCAGTTCAGACCTGGGGGTCCTGCGTTCACAGAGACTGACAGCTGCGCCATGCACTGTGCCCAGAGCACAAGACACTACGCACAGACACGGGACAGAGGCTGGGCCACAAGCACACTCCTGGCCCTGGCCAGCTGGATACCAGCCAGGTGTTTGGCTGCCACCCTCAGGCCCAAGGGCAGGGCTGCGGGAGTCGTGTGGATCCTGGCTCAGGGAAGGCCAGGCTTTGGGGCTGGTGACTGAGCCTCCTCCAGTGGGCCATGACCTCCCTTTAGGTGGCGACATTTCTTTCCAGAGGAGTCCAGCCACAATCCTCCTCCAGTGGCCGAAGCCACAAGTAGATGGATGAGAGAGAGGACAGTCAGCCGGACAGTAGGACAGATAGATGGTGGATGACTGCTGGACAGGCAAGGGGCCAGAGAGGCTGAGTGTGGACAGCAGGGAGCCAGGTAACGCGAGTGGCTGACGCTGAGCAGCAACAGGGGTCAGGGCAGGGAGCAGGAAGGAATGCACTGGGGACTGAGGTGGGGATGGGGTTGGGGATACCTGCACAGGAGGACACACACGGAGAAGGACGGGCACGGCCTCCCAGCCTGGCACCCAGCCTGGCACCCTCCCCCGACCTCACCTGGCATGAGTCCCCACGGTAGTTGGCAGGACACATGCACAACTCCACATTGCTGGCTGGAGGCCCACTGCCCATCTCACTGGCCACCTCCAGTGCCACCCTGTGCAAGGAGACAGACGAGGAGATCTGCGAGAAGAGGGCTCGGATCTGTAGCTGCTCCAGGCCCGCCAGGACCATCATGAGCTCCTCTCGGGACACGGGGTTGTGAGTCTCCACGTGGCGGAAGTTTTCCTGCAAGACCAAAACAGGACCTCAGTGCGGAGGCTGAGGCACACTGGGGTCACTCAAGGGCAAGCCCAGCAGCCCGATGCCTACCTCACACCCTACACCAAAATTAGTTCCTGGCGATAGGAACTTACTTAGATGTAGCCTGGCCTGGTGCACAGGCCTGTAACTCTGCGCCCTAGACTCAATCACCAGTGCCATAAAAATGAAGGCCGCTAAAAAGACCAGGCGGCCAAACAGTCGAAACTCAAACGGAGGATGCTGTGGGGCAGCTCACAGTGGAGGAAGCCAAATGGTCACGGAGCAGCAGGGACTTGCTCTCCTGTCATAGGCCAGGGTGTTTGAACCAGCACAAGGCGAGACAGTGACCAGGCAGGAAGGCCAGCAGTGTCCCTGCGCTGGTGTCCATCACAGACTGGGCACAGCAGTTGGGTCTTCTGCAGTGCCCGAGGCCAGGTCGGCTCCACTCACCTCTACCAGCAGCAGCTGCCCACGGTGGGTATGGCCAGGTGCAGGGTACGCCGGCTCCAGGAATGCGATGCTCATTTGGTTGCCCTGGGGGACACAGGGTGGGTGAGGGCTGGGCCACTGTTCAAGCTGCCACTGCACGTACCCACCCTGCCACGTCTGCCCGCTATGCCACCTGCAGCACCACGTCTGGCCGGCTTTCTGTGGGGATGAAGACGTCTCCACGCTGGGTCTCCGAGTGCAGCTGGTAGCGGAGGGTCCCCCCGTAGGAAGATACCTAGCAGTGCGGCGGCGGGAGGTGACGCTGGACACGGGTGACCATGGCCGCGCTCCTCCCTCGCAGCTTCTGCAGCCTGACAGGCGTGAGCAGCCTCACCGGGTCCTTCTCCATCCCTCCAGCCCCACAGAGCTCCCCGTCCCCCTCCCCTCCAGGCCCCTGGCCCAGCATCCCTGCTCACCCGGTCCCCCAGGTAGGAGGGGGGCGCTTGCCAGTACAGCTCGGGGAAGGAGTCTTCGGCCAGGGTCCGCAGGTCCGCATGCAGCAGCTCCGCCTCCGCCCGGTGCGTGTGGGGCATCACCTGGCGGTCGGCGCTCAACAGGGTCCAACCCTCCATGTCCACGAACTGTGGGCGCACAGGTGGATCACGCATGGGCGGGAGGCGGCGGCCCCTCCTGCCCCGAGGCCCGGGCTACCTCTCTACCTCTCGGCGGGCATGGGCGGAGCTCCTGCAGTTCTCTGTAGCCCCGAAGCAGAAGCATCGGGTGCAGCCCTTGGGGTTAGCAGCGTCCAGGGAGAAGGTCCCAAGGCGGCACTGGTCGCACCTTGGGCCCTGCACATTCTCCTGAGGGGAGATGGGGGGGGGGACAAGGGCCAGTCGGCTGCGTCCCCGGAAGCTAAGCCCTGCCACCCACTTACCCCCAAAAGCTGCCAGGAGGCCCCAGCTACAAAAAGACCTTTCAGCTGAGACCACATGGGATGGGGCAGGCACAGGCGCCCCTCACCTTGCAGTAGCACCGGCCCGTGAGGGGGTCACACACGCCTGGCGCAGTGCCAGCCTCATGGCAGTCACAGGGGTGGCAGCTGGGATAGCCGTGGAAGCCTGGGGCACAGGTGTCACAGCGGCGTCCTGCCACATTGGGTCTGCACCTGCCAGGGAAACACAGACCGGGTGAGCGCCCGGCACAGCCAAACCCATGGGGCCCCCACCTGGACAGTGTCTTCCATGACCTGGGGGCACAGTGGGCTCTGGGCTCGCCTACAGTGCAGGGACCCCTGCCCAGGCGCTCACTTGCACTGGCCGCTGTCCACGTCACAGGTAGGGTCGGTGAGCTCCTGGACACCAGGCCCTGAGCAGTTACACTCCTCACAGCCCACCAGCGGGTGGCAGCCGAAGGTCTGGGGCTGGCACACCAGGCAGTCGGGGGGCACAGTGCGTGGTGGGCAGATACACTGGCCTGTGATCTCGTCACAGAGGCGGGCACCACAGTCGCAGGCTGCGGGGTGGACATTGCTGGTTGACCCCTCCATCCCCTCAGGCCTTACTGCAGGCCTCGAGGAGGTGGTGGGTAACACGGGTCTGGCAGGGTCCACCTCAGCCCCAGCCCCAGCGCCAGCGCGTCTGACATGGAGCCAAGGCTCAGCTGCCAGGGGCTAAAGGGTATCTGTGGGCCCCAGAACTTTCTAGACAAATCTGCAAGGTGGGCACCTAGCACCTAGACTGCCAGCTGTCCCATCAGGCTGTAGCACACTGCTGGCCACTAGGCCGATTGCAGCACACCCCACTCCAGGCAGTCACCCTTGGCCACCCTGGTACTCACGCCTGCAGCTTGGAAAGCCCCAGTAGCCGGTGGCACAGCGGGAGCAGTCGCGGCCGATGACATGGGCCCGGCAGGGACACTGGCCCCCAAAGGGGTCACATGTGGGGCCTGTGGCACCCACCTCGTGGCAGCCACAAGGCAAAGCCCCGTTGTTATAGAAGAGAGACAGTGAGGTAGCGGCGTCTTGGCAGAATGGGGAGGAGCTCCCGGGGCTGCAACACGGGCAGCTGGTAAGGCAAGGCCCCATCCGGCCGCCCCTGCCCCACTCCTGCTGAGCCTAGCCCACCTGATGTGGTAACCGTGGGCAGCACAGTGACTGATAAAGTCATAGGATTTGTCCAGGGGCTCCTCCTGGAGGTAGCTGGAGCTGTAGGCATCCTCGGGGATGACAAGCACATAATCCTAGGGGACAGCGCCTGGTCAGCTTCCCTGGTCACGGCCAGGGGTTATGCAGTGGGGCAGAGCCTTCGGCAGGAATGGGGACAAAGGAAGCACCCACCCCCAGCCAAGGCCAGGGTCCTCGCTGAGGCCACATAGGAAGGAGCCAACTACAGCCACATCTTGGGAGTAAGATGGGTGGCAGCCTCCTGGTGTCACCTCTGCCCAGAGTGCACAGCCTGCCCCCTGCAGGAAGGCACTCTGCCAGCAGGGCAGGGTGAAGGAGCAGCATGGTACCCTGAGAGTCCCCAAGGCAGAAGCTACCCCACTTGGCACCTGGCACAGGGTGCAGCAGCAGGCTGAGGGGGCTCACCCTGAAACTGCCACTGGTATGACAAACAGAACAGCCAGTCCCTGAGTGGGGACACCAGCCCTGGACTCACCAGCCAGAGCCACCGGCCCTCGGGCACACGCACAGTCACCGTGAGCTCACTGTCTGTCACATCCAGCACAGCCTGGCCCTCACACAGCACCAGCGTGCGGCAGCCATAGCCATGTGGGCAGAAGCTGGCATTGGCATGGCCTGGAGCAGGAAAGAGGCAGGCTCAGGACCCTGGCACCGAGCACCCACCCTCCAGCCCCACTGGGCCCAGGACTCTCCAGACCTCAAGCAGATGAGACAGAGAGGGCTGCAGGCACCTGACCTTGCAGCCCCCGAGGTCACACATGAGCACCTGGGGGTGCAGATCCCTGGGCATCTGCACCAAACACGTCACCATGCACGACCGGGACCTGCAAGGAGCACCCTACCACGGGAGACAGGTGTGCAGGAGGCTAACGCCCACAGTGACCCTGAGACAACTAGTTGAGGACCTAGCAGCAGGGCAAGGGTTGTCAGCTGTCACTGGGGTGTGTGTGATCTGCCCATATCATGGGTGACAGCCCCTCCCAGACACTCACCCTGCCAGACACGGCCCCCGTTGATGAGGACCTCCACAGGGAAAGTAGGGTGCGCTGGCTGGTAGCCGTGCAGCAGGAAAGCATAGCGGCCCAGGACAGGCACCTGGGTGGTGAAGACCACAGTGCCCTGCAAGGAAGACGCTGGTGAGTGCAGAGCCTGCCTGGCCCGATCCCCACCCCTCCAGGGACCACAGTCCAGCTGGGCCCTCACCTGGGGGTGGCGCAGCAGAGTGGGCTCCGTGTCAGGGTCCACAGCAGTGGGGGGCCGAGGCTGGGGCCCGGCGGGGGCTGCACCGGGTGTGAGCTCCTGCGAGTGGCTCAGAGGGAGGCTGGGCGGCAGCGGCAAGACCTGGCAGTCCCTGAGGATGATGGGCTGCGGCGGCTTCGGGAAGCGCGAGGGCAGGCAGGAGGCGCTGGGGGAGCACAGCGGTGAGCCTGAGCACCCGCACGGGTGCCCACATACCTCCCTGGCCCAGTGTCTTCGCTACCTGCCAGGCCCGAAGGTGCCGTGGCTGCTGACGCAGCGGACCCGTGGCTCCACAAACTCGGCACTGAACTCCTCTGCGGGCACCAGAGTGACGCCGTGCTGCAGGGCAGGGACAGGACCATGTTGTGCCCAGGCAGGAGAGGAGGCGAAAGCAGAGATGGGGGACTGCACAGCCCAGACCCAGGCCTGCCTCTGTGGCACAGGTCGCAGCTCAGGATGTGGGACCAAGGGGCAGCCCCTGAGGCCCGGCTCCCCACTCATCCCCACTCCCCTGCCACACCCCACCCTTTCTCGGGCTCCCTCAGCTCCCAGGGCCAGGGACCAGTCCAGCTTTTCGCAGACCCCCTACTGCCCCCCTGCTTGGGCCCCACACCTTCCTCACTCCCACGAGTGTGGGAGACCACAACTGTGGCCACACAGCCTCACCAGAAAGAAGTGTGCCTGCTCGGCTGTGAGCCTGACGCTGGCCTCCGAGTCCAGGGAGAAGGTGGCCGTGTGGTGCTGGGCATCCAGGACGGGGCCCCGACACAGGGTGCTGGCGGGGCGGGACGGTCAGTGTCCTGGCAGCCCAGGGCTGACCCATGCGCACCCCAAGCATGCTCCCTGCCCACCTGTAAGGGCAGGGGTGGAGGGTGATCACACCCAGCTGCGGGGGCTGCTGGGGGGTGTGCACAGCCACGCCCACCTCCTGGCGGGCGTCTTCGTTGGCATATTCCACCACCAAAGCATAGTGGCCCGGCCGCGGGACGGTCACCTGGAGCTGGACGTCCACCTGTGGGAGGGCAGGGTGACCAGAAGCCAATAGCCCATCCTCCCTGTCTGCCCAGGGACCACAGAGGACCAAGGGGAAGGCTGGGTGACCTCCTTGACCACAGGTGAAGTCAAGCATGGTGACAGCCACCCTAACCCGGTGAGAAACGCGCATGCGGGCACCACGCGGCCAGCCTGTCCTACATCCATCCCGCCCACCATGGGCCCTTAGACACGCACATCACTGCCCAGACAGGCAGCCAATGGTGGGTGTGAAGGGCTGAGCTGCTCCGTGGGGCAGGGCCGAGGCAGGCTGTTGTCATGGCCACACAGGGCCTCGGGCCCGGCAGCTGAAGGGAAGCCATCCAGGGGAAGGTGGGCATAGAGAAGGCAGCTAGAGGGGACAGAGGCGGAGGTCAGCACTGGATCCCCAGCAGCCATCCCTGGGAGGCTGCCCGAGTGCGGGCCAGGAGGGGTGGGGAAGGTGGGTCCACAGTCTCTGCCCCAGCCCACTGGGTGGCCTCTCACTTCTCCCCAGAGCGTCGGGCAGAGGGGCGGTAGGTGCAGGCCTCGGTCACGCGCAGCTGCAGAAGGGCTGCCTCATAGTAGACGCTGGGCAGCAGAACCACGTAGTCCTGATGGAGACAGGAGTGGGCACTGAGGCTCCTGGCCAGGGGTCTGTGCCCAACCCCCACCTCGGCCCCCACCTCACCAGGAGCACCCCTTCGGCCTCCACGAGCAGGGCCCAGGTGCCAGGGTTCAGCACAAAGGGCTCTCCAAAGCCCCTCTGGGGTACAGTGACGAAGGCAGGCTCCGTGCTGGGCGGGAAGGCCACGGGCTGGCTCTGCTCTGTGCCTGGGGAGGGAGGCTCCAGGCTTGGTACTCGGCCACTGCAGGCTGCAGCGTCCCACCGTGTGGGAGACAGCCTGAGCCCACCACCCCCAAGAGGACCCCCCAGGAGCCAGCTGGGCCAGGAGGGGCAGGGCGTGCGAGGCAGAGTTGGGCCAGCCTTCCACTCACAGTTGGTGCAGGTGGCAAATTTGCTGTCCTCACGCATGGAGACCCGGCCACTCACACTTGTGGGCCCACGGTTGACATAGCGGAAGACCAGCCGGAAGAGGTCGGGGGAGGTTATGTTCAGCCTGGCCACGATCCTGGGCTGCAGTGGACAGGGAACAGGGGGTCATCTTGCCTGGCCACTGCCGGCCCCAGCCCTGTCAAGCACTGCTGCCCCGCTTCCACGTGAGTGGGCAGGGTGGTGCCGCCCACCTGGATGGGCGCCATGTGTGCATAGCCCCGCCAGCTGAAGTTCTCAAACTCCAATGGGTTGAAGCCGAAGCGCACGGCATGGCCCTCGGGCGTGGCTGCTTCCTCCAGCTCCAGCCGCAGATGGTGCAGGTCGGGCAGGTAGTGGTCCTTCACGGGCCTGGCCACACACAGCACAGGTGTCAGCAGGGCAGGCCCTGGCTCTGTGAGGCCGCCTGGATCCCCAGGGACAGCTGGTGGCCCCACATGGGCCCCGTGGTAAGGGACACAAGGGAGCCTGGGATAGGCTGCCTCCCACTCCCTGGCACCCACTCGCTGCAGGTAGGACCCTGGGTGTTGGGGCGGCATCGGCAGGCGCCCGTCCTTGGGTCGCAGCCCTGGCCCAGTGCACCGCCGACGTCACACCGGCAGCCTGCAGTAGAAGAAAGGGGTGGAGGTCAGATACTGCGCAGCCCCTGCCTGCTTCAAGGCTCTGCCCAGCTCGGCTCTGCTGGCCCAGCGGCAACCCCTCCCCTCACCCACTCTCCCAGGGAAAAAGCCAGCTCTCATCCATCAGGAGGGGCCTTGGGGCTCTCCGGATCCCAGGCTGAGGACGGGGCATGGTCTTCATGGGGATGGCCCAGTGGTATCCACCAGGGCTATGGCACAGGCTGTGGGATGGAGCTGAGGTCCACGCCCTGGCAACACTCTGGCTTCCACCCCAGCATGGGCCTGGCTTGGTCCAGGCCCAATCCCAGAGCCTTACTGTACTGTGGACCCCCTGGCGTCCCTAACCCATCTGTCCCTCCTGCGGTCTCAGTGTCCCTGACATGGCCTAAGAGAGCAGGGGCCACTTACTGTGGCAGCCAAAGTAGTCAGCCTGATCCAGCCCGAAGAAGCCTTCCTTGCATGCTGCGCAGCTCAGGCCACACACATGGGGCTTGCAGAAGCACTGGCCACTGCCCTGGGGCCATGAGAGAAAGTGGGACCAGGCAGGGGCATAAACCCACCCACCCGGCAGCCAGAACCTCGGACTGCAGACTCACTGGCTGGCACTCGGACACTCCGCCCAGCGTGCCCCGGGGATCACAGCTGCAGCCTGGGGAAGAGCAGAGCAGGCCTGAGAGCGGCTGAGGACAGGAGCACGGACCTGGGCTCCCCTTCCACGACAGTATCCCCACTTCCTCCAGGCAGACTCACGAGTGCAGCCCTCAGGGTTGCTGGGGCTGAGTCCCCAGAAGCCAGGTTTACAGCGGTCACAGCTCGGACCCTCCACGTGAGCCCGGCACACACAGGGGCCCTGTGCCTCGGGAGGATGACGGCAGTTACAGGGAGCCCTGCCCTCCCCCACATACCCTGCACCCTGGAGCCCTGACAAAGGACTGACCCTGCCCTGTGTCCGGCAGTCACCTGGAACAGGGGCAAAGGACCAGCAGAAAGACCAGATTGGTCCGAGGTTGCCATGGCAGCTGAGCTGCAGGCAGGAAGCCAAGGCCTCTCCAGACTGGGACTTTTGTTCAAGCCTAGGTGTCCCACCCGTCCCCACACATGGGCAGACCTGGGCTCACCTCGGGGAGGGTAGGATTGGCTGGGGCCAGGCCAGCAGGGTGACAGGAGCCAGCTATGGAGAGATAAGCAAGCTGGCCATCCCCTGACGACTAACCCCTGAGGCCAACAACTTCCCAGGCCTGACCAAAGCCCACAACCCTGCAGGAGCCTTTGTGCACAATTCCTACAATGATGATCAGAGGCTTGGACCCTCCCACTACACAGCACATGCCTGTACACACACACACACACACACACACACACACACACACACACACACACACACACGGCACATGCACACATGCACAGGCACCGGTCCACACGTCGGGGACACAAATGCACACTGAAGCTGCGTGAGCACAGCAGGGGCATGATGAGCATCTTCTACAACCCAGGGATGCATGCAACATCTGGAACACGGCTCTGCCTGCCCACTTGCCCACTCACCTTCACAGGAGGGAAAGTTGTAGGCACCAGGTACACACATGTCACACCGCAACCCTGTCACACGGGGCCGGCAGCTGCACTGTCCCGTCCGGGGGTCACAGGCCGAGTTCAGGGAGCCGTCCGTGGAGCAGTGGCAGGCTGTGGATTAGAGCCGGGTGTGAGCACGATCGTGGACTCACACCGTCCCCCATCTTCCTCCCAGACACTCACGGGTGCAGGCGGGGAAGCCATGGAAGCCAGGGCTGCACTCCTGGCAGGCAGCACCCGCATAGCCAGGTCGGCAGAGGCACGAGCCACCCACTCCACAGAACTGCTCCAGAGCTCCCCGGGGGTCACAGGTACAGGCTGCAAGGCCACAGTGGGGTCAAGTCTAAGCCTGTGTAGGTGGCCCAGTCCCTTCCTGCCTCAGCCGTTGCCTCACCCTGGCAGTTGGGGTAACCGTGGTGGCCAGGGCGGCAGTGGTCACAGTAGGGGCCATCAAATCCAGGCCGGCATGGACAGCGGCCAGCTTCATCACAACCTTCAGGCAGGGTCCCCACAGGGCTGCATCCACACACTGCAGGCAGATGCATCTAGGAGTCTAGGCCCAGGCAGGCTACACCCCAAGGGTCCCCCGCCCATACCCACTTGGAGAGACATCACTCACACTGGCACAGAGGGAAACGGAAGTAGCCGGGGGCACAGCGATCGCAGGCAGCCCCCTCAAAGCCTATGCGACACCTGCACTGGCCGGAATCAGGGTCACAGAGTCCGTCGGCCACCCCGGGACTGGTGCACTGGCATGCTGCAGGGAAAGGGAGCTGCTGAGGGCAGCCCAGGGCCACTGGCAGCCAGGGGGCCAGGAAGCAGGGCTACACTCACGCTGGCAGCTCGGTCCGTAGAACCCAGGGGCACAGAGCTCGCAGTGGGCACCCTGGAAGTTGGGTTTGCATACGCATCGGCCAACCCTCGGGTCCTTGCGGCAGGAGTTGCCCTGGGTCCCACCGGCGCTGCAGTCGCAATCTGGGTGGGAGGGGGAGGGCAGGGGAGGCTCAGAGACGAAGACCGCAGCCTTCTGCACAGCCTGGGGTGCTTACGCTTCTTCACCCCAGGAACGAGGACTCCCGGAAGGGAAGAGGCCGCTGGGAAAACCACCAAGCAGAGCAACCAGCACAACTGCAAACCCAGAACTCGGTGTTCATACGCAAATCCAAGTTTACGACAGCCAGGGACACAGGAAAACCATAAAAACAGAATCATAACAAGCGAAGCAGAAACTTCTAGTTTCTTTATAAACAACCATGAGCGTTGGGAAGAAGGAAGAAAAGGCATGCTAACCATCGTAACTGCACAGGAAGGCAGGGTCGGGATGTGCTCAGCGTTTGTTACTGAGCGAAGCAGCAAGGCGACACCCAGTCCAGAGCCAGAACTCGCCGACCCACGAGAGGAGCGGGCTCCCCACGGCAGCAGCGGCAGCAGCAGCAACACACAGGCCAGCGCGGCAGGGACATGCGCTGCCGCCCGGGCCAAAGCCAGGAGTGAAAATGTTTAGGTAGAAAAGTAGACAACGGCGGTAATCCCAGCACCCTGGAGCTGAGGCAGGAGTTTGAGACCAGCCTGGGCTATAAAGTGAGCTCAAGGCCAGCCTGAACCGCATAGCGAGACCCTTTCTCAAAAAGACGGAAGGAAGGAAGGAAGGAAGGAAGGAAGGAAGGAAGGAAGGAAAGAAAGAAAGAAAGAAAGAAAGAAAGAAAGAAAGAAAGAAAAAAGATAAAAGGGCAGGTACAGCCCAGCAAGAGCGTGGCCAGATGACAGGTAGCTCAGGCAGTGAGTCCTGGCCTAAGATAAAAACCCAAGGGTTTGGGGTTGGCACAGGAAACCCAGCGGAAGGGACTCCAGCACTAACGCCACATTCACAGCGACTGGTCCTTGTGCCTGGTGCCTGTACTTGGGCCCCGCCTGTGCCCAACCCCCTGGGCAAGCTACACTCTGGAAACATTAGTAGATTTACAAATCTTGATTCAATCAGATCAACAGAGAAGAGAGAGAAAAAAATAGACAATAGATGAAAGGAAATTTAAAAGCTGTAATAGAACGTCGTGTATAGCTTTTACTAACAGGCATTTAAACACCCAAATGAAACCAGCAGTTTGCTAACAAAAATATGACTAACTGAAAGACGTAAGACAGATGAGGCAGGACATGATCAGCTACCGTGAGCACAGAAGGCAGCACCTTAACCGAAGATCTGGGCATCAGGACGAGCTGGCTCCAGCAGCTCCATGGAATGGAAGCTGTTTTTGTTCACGCCGGAGCCACGCTGTCTGGCTGTGCCGTACCGGCCCCAAGTTCCCAGGCTTACTCAGCCTCCTGCTCCGGCACAGCCGGAGTCGCAGGCCTGCACCGCTGCGCTTGGCAGGTCTTTCTCCCTGCAAAGCCATTTTATTCATAGATAGATGGAAAAGAAAAGGAGGAGGAGGAGGAGGAAGAGAACAGCTACGACAAAATTTTAAAGTACATCCATTGGGGGTAACAATGGTACACACATTTCAGCTCTGACTTTTAATGCGGACGATTCTTGTGACTTTTTGAAAGGATCCGCAGAGCAGAAACGCAAGGGTTGTTTCCCAAGAACACACACAAACTTAACACGGCCAAGCCAGACTCCCTCGTGAATGCAGACATGAGGAAAGACATCATGTTCTGTGCTGGGCTCACGTGAGGGAGGCCTTAGTGTAAGTCTCTGAACCATAAGAACATTCGAAGTGGGGACCTGAGCACTAGTGCTTGCCAGGGTCCTGCAGGGTAAGAACCTTCAACAGTTTACATCGGGGTTGGTAAATGACAGCCCAAGGGCTCTGCCACCTGCTTTGGCAAATGAAGATATTTGGGAGGCAGCCGGCCCACTCCTTCCCAGGCATCTGCAGAGGCAGAGCTGACAGCCATCGGAGACCATGTGGCCCCCAGTCTAGGACATGTGCTTACCTCCCGGCCCCCTAGCAAAGTTCACAGCCCCTTGGTTTATGCTGTTGATGACCCGTAAGAAAGAAAACCACCCAGAAGCAGCCCTGGTTCCAAATGTACCAAAGTCAGAGAAGCCAAGAACAGCACTGACAGAATCACCTAAAAATGTGAGAATCTGGCCTGAAAACCAGTCCCTAAAAAACACAAAGGAAAGTCAGGCTGCGGGAAGGACCCCACACAACGTGTAGAAAGGGCTAATGGGACTGAGGGAAGAGCCTGGCCCAGCTCGAGTCCACAGCAGGATCCACCTGACAGGCGAAGGTGACCGGGCCCGACAGGCTGGCCAGGAGCCAGACCCCAGGCAGGCCCAGCCCCGGAAGACAGCAGACGCGATCAAGTGTCAGGCGAGAGACACAAGACGGGGAGGGCGTCTGTGCACGGGGCGGAGGAAGCTCTGCCAGCCAAGCGCACAGGAACGAGACGGCACCACGGCCCACGCTGCTGCCCGCTGACACGAGCTGGCGCTCAGAGAGCAGCTGGGCACTCGGCAGCCACGACCGAAACGACATGCACATCTGGAGACCCAACACCGCCTACGGGACCGGCCGCTGCCCATCCCAGCATCGCTGGAGGAGGAGGCGCACACCTGTCACCCCAGCCCTTGGAGGCCGAGGCAGGCCAGCCGGGCCACGTAGAGACTTCAAGGCCTGCCTGAACTCGACAGTGAGCCCCTATCTCAAAGGACGAAAAAACAAAAGAAATCAAGAGGGGGTGCGCAAGGGGAGGGGGAGCGGAGGAGAGAAAGAATGAAAACAGAGCAGAACCTGAGTGCGGGAAGCCCTAGCAGAGGGAGGTCGTGCCTGCCTGCTGCCTGCTGGGGGGGGGGGGCCTGGGGGGGGGCCTGGGGGGGGGGGAGAGGGGGGACCCTGGCCAGAGGAGGTAGCCTCGCTCAGTCATGTGCAGGGGACATTGCCGGGCGGGGTCACCTGCAAGCTGCTGAGCTAACTTCTGCTCCAACTCCATGCTGATCTATCTTTTTAAGGTTTTCCGTGCAACTGTGCATCAAAACGAAGTCCCCAAAAGTGACTACAAGGCAATCTGCCCTTTCGACAGGGCTCGGGCCATGACACTTACGCACGATCTGCCCGGCCGGCAGCACCTGCTCCCTGGAGTCATTGTGGGCGGACGGCAGTGCTGCAGAGAGAACACCCATCGACCGGGTTAGCTTGGCCGCCCTCTGGGCCCAGCGTGGGTGCCCCCCTCCGCAGGGCACCCCTGCCCCAGCTAAGCCTCACGGGAGCACTGTGGGAAGACCACGAAGCCCTCAGCACAGGCGTCACACCGCTCCCCAGTGAAGTTGGGCCGGCAGTAGCAGCGGCCAGTCAGGTCCTCGCACGTCCCGTCGGTGAAGGCCGACTCGCAGCTGCAGCCTGGCAGGGCAGGTCCACAGTCCCTGAGACCCCAGGCCCGGTGCCAGCAGGCCCCGCAGCGCTGGCTCGAGGGTGCAGCAGCCTCTGCCTCCCTCGTATGGGCAGGGGGCTGAGAATGCTGGCCAGGCCTCCCACAGCCACAGGGCCCGCTACCCACCCTGGGCCCTGGGCAGGCTCTGTGCCGCCCCCTCCCAGTGCAGGACCCCTGCCCACCCAGGCTGGGCCACTCACGGAGGCAGGCATGCGGCGAGTCGAGAGGCTGGTCCGGGGAGCGGTAGAAGCCCGGCAGGCAGCGCTCACAGTTGATGCCGGTGGTGTGGTGCTGCGAAAGGGGAGGTGGAGGCCCTGAGTCCAGGCCCACCCGCCGCCCCATGCCAGCCCCCATGCTGCCCTCCCTCTGGCAGCCCACCTGGCAATCGATGCAAACCCCCCCGCCCTGGTACACATTGTCCTGGTTCTGGCTGGCATTACGCCGGTCCACCTCGGGGTCGTAGTAACAGTCGTGGGCATGGCCATGGCAGTTACAGGCTAAAGGGAAGAGGACACAGGGGTCAGCACATCCTCCAAGACACATCCCATGACCAGGGGGCCCACAGCAGGGCACGTGAGTGGGCACAGGGGACTCACACTGGCACTCGTTGGCGCTGTCAGTGGTAGCTGGCTTCCACGGCTGCTGGTTGAAGCCAGGGCAGCAGCGGTCACAGGAGCCCCCGCAGGTGTTGTGCTGGCAGGCACACTGCAGCCTGTGGGCGACACATGGGCACCAAGGTGCTCAGACACCCCTGGAGACGCAGCACTGGCCCTGGTGGACAGGTCGTTGGCCCCCACTCTGGAGGGGCTGCGGTCCCCCTTGGCTACTGCGGGCCTGCTATGCGGGCACAGATCCCCTGTCCTCAGTTTCCTCAGCTGTCCTTGCCTGGACCCACTGCCGCCCACCCCATAGCTCCGCAGAGCTGCCCTGGTCACAGGGAACAGGAAGGGGTGTGCCGGAGTGCTCAGCAGCCTGGATCCTTGGTCCGTCCCACCATGAGCAAGACCCAAGCCTGGGCTCTCACAGCCAGGTCCTGGAGAAGGGACGCAGCTGCTCCCCGAAGCCCAGATCTCAGCTCTGGCAGGCAGTCCAGACTCCCGCCCCCATGTGCAGGGCAGCCCCCCAGGGCAAGTGACCAAAAACCGCTTCCTCTCCCAGCATGGGGTGGACACCAGGTCGGCACGATGGCCTCCTGCCTGCTGCTTCAGTAGGCAGGGGGACAGCTGGTCAGCACTGAGGACGGAGGGTGGAGCCATCTACTGCCTGGGACACTCACACCACAGCACTGCACCCAAGCCTCAGGCCACTCTTCTGGGGCAGAGATGAACAGAGCTCTGGGCTCCTGGATGCTAAACTGTGTTTCCTGAGCAGGACCCTGGGAGCCAGCCTGCATCCCAAACCACCCGACTCCAGCCCATGACTGTCACCCTCGGTATCCTTCAGGCTGAAGCCAGGAACATCTGGGAAGGCCATTTCCTCAGAAGAGGAAGCACACTGCCACCAGCTGCAGTGATCAACAAGCAGTCTGCCCGTCCTGACTCCAGGCCTGAGCTGGGAGCCCAAGGGCCCATCGCTGATGTTCACTTCTCAATTAGCTATGCGGCATGGGACCCCTAAACCTCAAGGAATTAAGTGACCATAGGATAGCAATTCCCGGGCATAAACTCTACAAAGCTACCCTGGAGGGCTTCTCCCCCTGACCTAGGCAGCACAGGGCGTGCAGAGAAGGCTCTGCTAAGGACCTGGCAGAGAGACACCGCGGGAGGGCCAGTGGACGCTCAGCGTATGCTCTGACAGGAGCTACGAAGGAGTTGCATAAACAGAGCAGCCCAAAACATGAGGGCGGACACAAAGGCAGGTGCCAGGACTGAGGGTGCAGCTCAGCGGCAGAGCACTCCGCCAGCCTGCTTGAGGCCCGGGGTTCTGTCCCCAGCAGCACCGAAAGCAAGATGGAAAAGCAGGAAGAAGAGAGAGCAGATGTGAAAGGGAACCAGCTGCAGTTCCCAGAGGCAAAACCAGTGATCACGGAAAGACCCAATGGACAGGCTGAGCAGAAGGCAGCCACGATGTCAGGGGTCTGCGACAGAGAGAACCGTGAGACATCCCCGCGTCCCACGTCAGAAGGGAAGTCAGAGATGGGAAGGCCACGGTCTCGATTAAGGAACGCAGACAGCAGGGTGGGAGGGCAGTGCATGAAGTCACAGGGAACATGTCTAACCCTCAGCACCTCTGAGTCGATCTGCAGGACACAGAGGACACAGAGCTCTGGAGCCCACCAGAAGAGGAACACACAGAGACAGACACCGGAGCAGCACAGACTCCCCTGGGCACGGCCAGAGGCCGGGACAGGAGGCCTCCCAAGTCAGGAGATGCACTGGCCATCAAGAACCTCAATCAGCCACACCAGCACCCACAAACCACACAGCCACTGCAAACCACACCTGAGATGCCCACAGCGAACACCCAAGACAGGACGCACTGGGAGAACACAGAATGGAGAGGACAGGGTGACCAGTGGGCACCAGAGAGGGAATGACGTGCTGCCCCAAGCAGGAACAATGCACAGCCAGGACCACCAGGCGTGGGCCCAGGTGTTGCTCGGAGGCGGCAGAGCAGTTCACTGTCAGGGAGGCCTGAGGAAAAGCAGGGGCGGCCACCACGACAAGAAGCGGACAAAGATGCAAGGGTGCCTCCGACAGGAACCAAACGGACGGCCTCCGACCAGAGGAGCAGAGAAGGCAAGCAGCGTGCCAGGGTCACCGGGGTGGGAGCAAGGCAGAGGTCGGAGGCAGGGCGGGTGGTGGAGCCACAGTGGCCGACACACTGGAGGGGCAGTGCAGGGACCGGCCTGGCATGGTGGCACATGCCTGTAATTAGCATTTGGGATGAGGAGGCAGAAAGATCCCTGGGAGTTCAAGGTCAGCCTGAACCACTAGCAAGACCATGTCCAAACAAAAACAGAAGTGCCAGCAGGACCCAAGGAGCCATTCACCCTGCAGTGGCAGAGGGAACACCGGTCAGTGTGGGGACTGACCATGGTGGAAGCCATGGTGACCCACTTCTGTTGGGGTCTGAGGTGCTGGGGGGAGGCCTGGCTTGCACAGCCCCTCAGGCCCTGCAGGGTGGGCTGGGCTCAGTGCGCCGAGTCAAGGTCTGAGTCAAGATAATGAGGCCTCTCCTGGCAGGTGAGGGCAGGCCCAGCCCCAGGGCTCAGAATCCTCGGCTCCTCCGAGGCCAGCTCGGCTGTCTGCTGGCTCCACTCCCAGCCATCTGGAGCTGCGTTCCCACTGGGCACTTAATTTCCCAGGGCAACTGAGTGGGGCCTGCAGTGGCGCTGGCTAGGACCTACTCCCAGGAAGTGTCCCCAGGGCCCAGGGCTCCAGGGCAGGAGCAGCCTGCCAGGTCCTTGGGCTGGGTGACTGTGCTGCCCCTTCACAGCCGCTGGCCACTCCTGAGAGGCTCAGTTTTGGCCGTGGAACGGGGCTGAGCTTCCGTCCCACCTGGGCCTCCCTTGTCTCCTCTGCACTCGAGCACGAGTGCAGAGCTGTAGCTCAGCAGGGCCCACAGCAGGTCTCACGTCCAAGGGCGTCCGAGGGCGTCCGAGGGCAAGAAGCAGGGCCCAAAGGGCTTTGTAGTGACAGAGACAGCAGGGTGAGCCTGCCTGAGCCGTGGCAGCCCCCACAGGAGCCTCACCCAACCCTGTCCCCGCTGTGTCACCCTCCCGTCAGTCACCCTCCCAAGCCCGACTATCCAGAACAGGTGTCCTGGGGCCAGGGCTGGGCCTCACGTCCTTCGCTGCTGGCGGAAAGTTTGAAGGAAGAACCTGATGCCCTAGAGCTGCCCCCAGGCAGAATGAGGACCAAGATGAGTCCAGTGTGCTAGCCCAGGGCCAGGCTCCAGCCAGCCATTTACAAGAGGGATGCCTCCACGCCAGCGCCACCAGGGATCTGGCTTCAGGTACAAACCGCCTGATAGCAGTGGGGCCCTGCCTGGCCACCCGGTTCTGAGTGGGTCCCAGGAACACATCTGCTGCTGTGGGCAGAGCCACGGCAGAGCCCTGCAGCGGTTGGAGAGGTTGGAGCCCTTGGCTGGATGACCACAGCGTTCAATGGGGTGCTAGCTGTCCCCCATCCTGGACTTCACCCCTGTCCTTGGCTGTGTCTGTGTGAGGGGTCAAGGAAGCTGGGGAACACATGCCCAAAGTGCATGAGGATTGCCTGGGCAAGCGATGGGCACCTGTCCATGTGTGCAGCCTGGGGGTTTTGGGTTTTCTGAGACAGTCTTGCTATGTTCAGGCAGGCCATTAACCCAGGCTGGCCTCGAACTCATGGCAAGCAAGCCTTAGCCTCCAGAGTGCTGGGATTACAGATGTGCACGACCATGCCCCGCACAGGTGGGTTTGATGGCCTCCATCCGTGACTCCCCTCTTTGAGCCCTGGGGCGGGAGAACCCCATCACCACTGGCTGTGGAACAAACCCCACCACCCAAGACAAGGCAACCTGAGCAGGCTCCAGGGCCTGGCTCCTCCCCATCACCATGCGGGCGGCCGGTACAGGTCCTCCCTCCACGCCAGGGAGGCAGTGCCAGGAGATCTCCCAGCCCAGGTCGGGACTGCAGGGAGCCCAGGCCTCACCTGAAAGGGTCCAAGGGGTCCTTGGCGTCGCACACATCCGCGTGGCCGTGGCAGACGCAGCGGCCGCCGACGCTGATGTCCTTGATGCTGTAGTAGTACTGCAAGCCGAGCACGTGAGCCCCTGTCCGCCCTCGAGCCCGCCCCTTCCCCGCCTCACCCCCACCCGGCCACCTGGAGCTCACCCGGCGGGTGACAGTGGGGTCCCGCAGCGCCTTGCCCATGAGGTGGCCCAGCAGTGTGTTGGTGCGCAGGAAGCGCAGACGCACATTGGTGGCTTTGGTGAAGTCACGCAGGCGCGGGGAGTAGGAGAAGTTCATGGCCCCCGGACGTCCGTTCACCAGGGACACCACGATCTGCGGGCAGCAAGCAAGGCTGGGTGTGACCGCCTGCACCCAGCCACTGCCCAATGTGCCGCTCCAGTCCACCCTGGGGCCCACCTCGCCATTCTCCAGGGGCACGATGCGTGAGTACTCAGTGGTGCAAATGACATCGTCATCCTGCGTGATTCGCTCCAGCGTCCGAGGCCCAAACCGCTCCAGGCAATCCCTCTTGGAGGCTGCGGAGATAAACTGGAGGATGAGAGCAGGGGCCACAGACATCCCGCTGACCCTGGGCACCAAGTAGTGCTTCTGCACCCCTTGACCTCGCCCAAATGGAAGTGAAGTCACCCTGGACGGGGTGCCCCACTGGCACAGCACTGACCCACAGAATCTGTTGGCCAAAGAGCAGAATTCCAACAGATGGTGGTGGCCTGGTCCCTGGCCAGGGAGGCTGCACTGGCACAAATGGCACTAGCCCACCCAGGTGCCACTGCTCCCCACAGCACACCAGGGAGCAGGTGTCCCTCCCAGAGGACCACTCTCACCCCTCCCTGGGGACGATCCCAGCAGCCTTCCCCCAGTCTCAGGAGCCGGGACTAGGCCCATCCCATAGGAGTGACCCTATCCTGCCAACATGGCCAATCCGGGTACCCACAGCCAGGGCCAGCCACTGACTGCGGCACTGTCGCCTGACATAGGCAACTAAGCTGGCAGGAAGCAAGCCCAGTGTTGCCAGGGCCACTCCATCACTAGGGAAGCCACCCAACCATGCTGCCAGTCCAGAGGAGCCAAGAGATGGTTCAGTGCTTCCGGGCAGGCGCCACTGGCTTCTGTACGAGTCCTGCCCGGAAGGCCGGGGCGAGAGCTAACACACTTGCCACTGCCGTGGGGAGGCTGCACCGCCAGTCCCACCCAGGAGACAGGGCTGCGAGCCAGGCAAGGCTCCAGGGACCTCGAGAAGGTGTGGTGAGGGCAGTTGTGTCTCAGGGCCACTCCCAGAGCCCATGGCTCCTGGACACTCACAGGCGAAGAACTGCCACGGCTGGTAGGTGTGGCCGAAATCTGTGGAGCGCTCCAGCACCCAAAGGTCCGGCCGAGGGGAGTTGGCAAACTTGATGAGCACGTAGGCCACATGGAAGACCTGTGGGGGAGCGGCGAGGACTCAGGGTGCTGGACTCAGGGTGCTGGGACCCTTGCACGCTGCTGGGGCCAGTGTGCCCTGCAGGGTGTGAGGCACAGCAGGGGGTGCAGCATCCCTTGCATGGGGCTGAGCAGTTGAGGAACCCTGTGATAAGGGGCCAACTGGGTCCACAGGGTGGCACCTACACTAGGGACAGTGGAGGACAACAGTACCCCTGATCTGGAGGTGATCTCCAGATCCCCAGCCTCCTCCCCAAAGAGCTCAGGGCCCATGGGCTCCGTGGCTGCAGAGGGGACTTGGTGGAGGATGGGCACAGCCCACAGGGGAAGCAGCCTGTCCCCGGCAGCGTCCACAGCAGACACGGAAGCACAGCCTGGAAGCCCCGATGTCCATCCAGGACAGACGATCACACCCCAAACACCCCAGCTCCTAGCACACTGGGCAGCTGAACGCTCTTCCTGCCACAGACCCTGTCCCAGCCTCACCCTGGTCACCTGCTCCCAGATCCAGGAGCACAACAGTACAGAGCAGGTTAGGGCCCTGCTTTGCCATTAGGAGGCCCCTCGGGGGACGCAGACTGGAAAATCGGCCCTCCCAGAATTCACCTCAGCGGCGTGGCGGAGGGGGCGCCCAACCAGCCAGGACTTGGAACTGCAGCTTGGCTGTGGCCTGGACAGTCAAGGACAAGCCCCAGCCCAAGGCAGGGGACGCTGTTCCCTCTAAAGTACCCTAACCCCAAAGACCAGACCTCAGCCTGCCTGCTGGTGTTGGCTCAACTTTGACTGCGGGAGGCCAAAGCTTTGTTTCTCATTTTCCTGACCAAAGGACAGCAACCTGGGACATCACCACACACCTGCCCCCACTGAAGCCCCTCAGCCCCACCTGCCCCAGCCCTGGCATAGCAGGCCCTTTGGCCGCCTCTGTGGGGAAGCACTCTCTGACTGGAGCCCACCCACCCACACCAGGCCCTGGATGCCTCCAGGACAGACGGCCCCTCCCAGCCCTGTCCCCTCAGACCCTCCTCTGCCTGAGACTCCCCAGCCTGTCTTCACCCCCAGCCTCGTGTCTACCGATTCAGTGACCCACCGTGGGCTCCCTGCCTCAGGTTCCCCATGCCAAGAACCCCCAAGGGAGGCAGCAGACAAGGGGTGGCTTCCGAGGAGACCCGACCAGGCTCACCCCACCCTCCACAGGACTAAGCTCACGGCTTGGGGTACCACGAGCCCCCACCCGAAGGACTGGGAACTGCGGTTGCCACCCTGGGCTGCAGCAGAAGGACCAGGGGAGAGGCCTGCTGTCCAGGAAGGCTCAGTGTTCTTATAGCACCATGGAGTCACAGCCACGTAGGCAGGGCCTGGCCTGAGCAGCGCAGGGGACAGATGACTCCTGGCAACCGCTGCTCCGAGGGAGGACTTTGTGCCCCAGGAGGTGCCAGCTGGCGATGCTGTCAGCCAAGCCAGCCCAGGGCAGCTGGCATCCTGCGCAAGGCCTATGGGGTCCTCTGCCTCAACTCAGGACATTCTGGCTGGGACCACGGGCCCCATGCAGCTCCAGCCCCGGGAGGCACAAATGCCTAGGTGCAGGCAGGGCAAGAGCCGAGACAGGTTCTGGGTGCTGCTGCTCAGGGAAGGCCAGGCGTGGCAGGACCGTGGGTCTGTCTGGGCTCGGCCTCTCGGGTGGGGGTACAGGCCTATTCAACGGCTGCCAGGCTCTGAGGTCATCTTCCCATCCCCGCCCAGCGGGGGAGGGGCTCAGTCCCTGGATGGATCTTACACTCAGGCCCTCGGTGTACCCTGCACACTGCTGGGGTTTGGGGGCTGGGACAGCAGGGCAGGACAGGGTCTGCATGAGGGGGGCTGGGAATGTGGGGATACTCAGACTTGTCAGACATGGACCTGGCTGCTCTGGAGTTCTGGCAGCTCAGCCCCCAGTGAGGGCTCTGAGGAGATGACCGCCCAGCTGAGCCCCTGGGACCCACCCCCGCCTTTCCCTGAGCAGGAGCCCCAGGCTGCACCCGGGCTGGTCACTCTGCCCTTCCCGGGCCGGCCGGGCCCACATTTTTCCCAGCTGAGTGCACTCTCACAAATACTGACTCTGAGATGCTGCTGATGGGCAGGATAAGAGGGGACAGAAACCTCCCACGTGGGGGACACGCTAAGAGACCTTCCGCTCACTGTCCACTGGAGCCTCTGTCAGACGAGGCCTTGGACAGCTGGACTCAAAGGCCTGACAGCTACACAGACACTTAAGGGTGGGGAGTGCTGTGCCTAGGCACTCCGCTCTGTCCCCACCTGGTCCCCACTCTCAGGGCCACCCTCGTGCGCCCCTGGCGTGACCGGGAATGGGCAGACACTGGCCTCCTGGACAGAGCCCTCCCCCTCGCCCTGTTCCACTCAGCTGCCAACTGCGGCTGACCTTTCCGCTGCTGCATAGTTCTGTGTAGAAAGGGAAAAAAATGTCTTTTAAAGTAAAAGCCAAACAAAAGCCGTGGGTTATTTTTAAAAATCTGGCTATTTTGGGGCAGGCATGTCTCCAGGCCATTGGCCGCTTTGCCCCCTGCTCCCGCACAGCCTGACCTCCGAGGGCCAGGGCTCCTGAGGGAGAGGTTCTGCTCCTGCAGTCCCTGCCCCGCAGGGGTCTGTGGGAGTCCTGGGCACAGGGGCCAGAGCCAGAGCAGGAGTGCGTCTGGGACAGGCCGCAGGTCTCAGATGCCAAGGGGCCTGCGGAAGCCGCCACCACTCCTGGGCACAGAGCAAGGGATGTTCACGGTGGGGCAAAGGTTCAGAGCCCCCTGGGGGAGGAAACTCCCGGCCCTGCCATGGATGAGAGGCCAGTGGCACCTGGCAGGAACCCCATGGATGACCCCTAGAGCCACACCACACACTCCAATGTTGTGAAGGCCAAGGCAAGGGGTGAGCAGGTGCCGGGCCAGGTCTGGAAGTCACATGTATGAGGGGGACCCTGGGGACATAGGGACCAGGGCGTGAACCTGACGGGCAGCAGCCTCCACGGCTCAGATACCTCCTCACAAAGGGATAGCCTGAGGCTGAAACCGCTGGGGAAGGGAGCGGGCTCCATCCTGTGCCCAGTGCCTGGCTCTGGCCTGGGCCTTCGGGGGGCTGGGAAGACGATGGTGGGGTACAGGTCCCAGCCTCTGCACATCTTGGGGGTGAAGGGGCCCTGCCCCACCCCCCAGTGATGTGACTCAGCAAACAGTCTATGACTCAGCCTGGCTTGCAGGAAGAACGCCTTATGCCCGTTCCAGCACGCAGGCTGGGGTCCCACGCATGGCCAGGCGGAGGCAGGAAGCTCCTCCTTGCCCCAGGCCCTTAAATCCAGCTCCAGGGCATCTGGACTCTCAACTGCACCTCTACCCTCTCCAGATGTCCAGCCAGCCCAGCAGGCCCCGGGCCCACCTGCTCAACGCCACCCCTTTCTGCCCCCCTCAGCAGACCTCATATGGAAACCTGATAACATGCAGGGAACCACAGGGAGGCCAGGGCAGGGCAGCGTGTCCACTCGGGCCCCCAACTGCGTAAATAAATAAGCATAGCCCTCTCCACAGCCCATCCGGGAGCTGGCCCATACAGGCCCCATCCCAAGGGAAAGGACAGTGGAAAAGCTGAGGGGTCACCCAGTGAGCCTACCACCAGGAGGGACAACAAACACACAGACCCCCCAAGAGCAGAAGGGGACCCACGGGCTCGGACTCTGCCCTGACTCTGGGCAATGCCTAAGCCACAGATATCCAGAGCAGGGTGGGGAGATGGCAGGGACAGCACCTCAAATGCTGGAACCACAACAGAGCTGGACCCAGAGTGGACTCGGTGACCCCAGTCACACCAGTCAAACCCAGTTCCCTGCCCCTCCTTGCTACAGCCAGCCTGAACAGGCCAGATGGTCATTGGAGGGCAGCAGGAAGTGGAGTTTATCTCGAGGGGACCCTGCGCCAAAATCCAAACAGTTTAGTCTGTCCTGAAGGTGTGGTGGGAGGCCGTGTGAGGGGGTGGTTTGATAACACAGAACACAGTAAGCCTCTGAGGCTGCCAGGGCTTGGCGTCCGGGCAGGGTGACAAGGTGTCTTTGGGTACAGAGTGAATGAGGTGACCAGCATGCCAGGACAGCTGCATTTGGTGACCGCAGGCCAAGGTGGCAGCAACAGGAGACACAGGCTGGGAAAGAAGGGCCCTCAGCCCCAGGCATTGGCAGCCCCTCAGAATAACTTTCTCTGGCAACGGGACAGCCAGAGGGAGGGGACAGGCAGCGGGAACGGACTGCCATCTCCCTTGGTCAGAAGCCGCCCAGGGATGCCACCAGGACACCCCGGCTCCATCCCCCCCAGGAAGTCCAGCAGGCAGGGATGGGCCTGGCCCCACCCTGCACCTGTCCTGGCCAGAGCTGTAACCGAAGCCCGGCCACGGCTGCACTTCCTGTCACTTCCTTGGACACCCCCTGCTGACCATCTCCGGGCACTGGCCATATGGCTGAGTGCCCAGCTGGGCCAGGAAGTCATGCCATCAGCCTCAGACACAGCAACCAGGCCCTGGAGGCCTCCAGCGATCCCCACACTGGCCAGCTGCGGCAGGCAGGACAGCACAGGCCTGCAGGGCCGGCAGCCAGTGGCCACCAAGTCCCCATGCTGCACTCTCACTTCCTGGAGGAGACTGAGACCACTTCCCCACAGCCAGTCCGACAGCCCCTTCGGATGCCAGCATTGGGATCTGCCCCTCCATGCCAGCACTGTCCTACTTACAAACCTCGGCCTCAGTTGCCCCCGGGGACCCAGGGAGGACTCCCATCATCCAGGGGCAGTAGCTTCACTGCGGCCACACCTGCCAGCACCGCATCTGCTGGGGTGCTCTACCTCCTCCTGCTCATGGCCCCCTGTCCTGGGGGCACAGCCCCACACTGGGCACTCCAGTCCTCAGTGGCCCAGCCTGCACCCCAGGGCCAGCCACGGTGTCCACCCTGCATGCCAACTGTCCTTTACCCACCCCAGTGCCTCCGCTCTTGCAGCTCTGGGACTCTGAGGCTGGGACAAAGCCACTGCTTCCCCTGAGCCACCTGCATGCAAACGAGACAAAGCCAGGGGCCTCCCTGCCAGAAGGGGCAGGCAGGCCTTGCCTTGCACTCCTCACCCAGCCCAACCTAGGTCCCGGGGGCAGGGAGGAGGCTGCCCCGGGGTACTGCGAAAGCCAGAAGGGTGGCAGAGCCAGGCCTACCCACTCTGCCCGCACCAGCATGGGCAGACCTAGGCCAGTGTGCTGGGGGTGGGGCAGAGACCAGGGTGGGAACCTCCAGGCAGGACCCCAGCAGGTGGCCGGAGCCCAGCATCTGCATCCAGGGCTGCGTGAGGCTCCGGAGGGGGAGCAGGGCCAACAATCTGAACACTCAGCCCAAAAGCTTCCTGAGGACCCAAGGACACACACAAGAACCTCCCTCTGACCCCTAAGTGGGTCAGGAGGGGACGCAGGAAACTCTCCCTGAGTCACCAGGCACGGCAGGGAGTCTCTTCCTAGGGCCCTCCCCTGCAGCAGGAGCCCTGCGGGCCCAGGCCCATGCATTCCCTGATGTCCTGTCCAGGAGCCTGGCTGCCTCCAGCCGGGCCCACAGAGACGCCACAGGCTGGGCGCCCACCACTCAAGCAGGAGACACAGGGCAGCAGGCAGCCCAGCCCACCATCCCCAGGCCTGCCCGCACAGGAAGCCCTCGGTGCCTGTGCCAGCCGCCCCCACCCCCTTCCCGGGGCATCCGCTCCAATCCCAGAACAAAGGCAGCTGGCCCAGCCCAGGCCAGCTTCCTGGTGAGCCCAAGCCCCAGCCCCAGCCCAGGGCCAGCACCTCAGCACAGAACCCCAGGAAGACAGTACTGGAATCCGTTTACCTGCCCCGCCAGTTGGATTCACTGGGGGGCAGCCCTGGGCCGGCAGACAGAGTTCTCCCAGGGTCATCCACGCAGAGGTTAAAGGGTGCACACAGCGAAGGAGAAAGGAGACAAGGAGGGTGGAGGGTCTCCCCAGCGCACCATTTTACAGTTGGCAAAACTGAGGCTTAGAGAAACAGAGTGCCTCATGGTGAAATTCCCTCCTGGCTCAGGATAATGTAAATGTAGGCCTCTTCCAAGCCCAATCCACAGATTGGAGACTTAGGGTTTATATCTAGACGTCCCCCAGGACCTGGCACACTCAAAGGTGGGGTTCTCAGAGGTGGCCGGATTATGGGGAGTCAGGGCTGTCTGCAGGGAAGAGGCGGTTGCCATGGGAAGAGGGGCATGGCCTTGCAGGGGCAGCTCCCTCCCTGGCTCCTCCCTTCCCTCCCAGGGTGGCCCTCCTGTGCCACAGCCCTTCCACCACACCACCCAGCACGCTGGCACCAAGTTTCTAAATCACATGAGCCTGCATCCCGGGTGCTTGCTGTGCAATAGTCTCTCTCCCTTCTGAGCCTGTGTCCCCATGTAAGCCACGGAGTTGGAGGGGAGGTGGTGAAGGCCTCTCAAAATTGGCCAGAAAGACAGGCCCCAAGGGCTGGTCCCTTCTGTCCCCAGCTGGCAGCCTGCAGGTGCTGGGTACTTGGTCCTAGCTATAAGCACCTCCGAAGGAGAGGCTACCTGTGTGATGCCACCTGCTCTGCAGCCACCCATGGAAACCAGGTCCTCACCCATCTACCTATATATCTTCCCACTGTGCCAGAGATGAGGGTCCCCTGGGATCCCCTTGTGCCCCTAAGGCCCCCAAGGCTCCAAGGAACAGGGAGTCCTAATGGTGCAAACCAGTGAGGTGAACTCCGAGTCCAGCCCCACCCAGACCTGGACCAGGACAGGCAGGGGCCCAAGAGCTCTAAGGTGCAGCCCCCTCTCCAGCCTTTCCCACCAGAGCGGCACGGCCACTGCAGCAAAACCAGGTCCCTCTGGAAACCCCAGGCCACGTGCTGGCACCCCACTCCCCTGGCTGCCAGCTGGTGGGGGGGGGGGACACAGGGAGCCTGCCCTTGGGCCAGGCTTGTGAGAGGCCTCCACCACCTCCCCTCCAACACCGTGGGTTACAGTGGGGACACAGACTCAGAAAGGCACAGAGACCGTTGCACAGCAGAGCAATTGCCGGGACATGGGCCTCTGGGGCTCACAGGTAGGGGCCGGCAAGGCAGGGCTGGGGGCTGTCTGGTGCTGGGCCCAGTTTCATGCATCCCTCCCCATCCTGTTTCCAGCGGGCAACAGCACTGCTGGCCCATTTAACAGGCTAGGAGCCGGGAGCTGAGCATCGGGGGAGAGTTGCAGGAGTGGGAAGAGGCTGTGTGGTTCTGACTCAGCCCGACAGTGAAGCCCGGGGCCTCAGGTCCTGCTCACCCTGGGGACTTGCTTATCACCAGAAAACGCCCCATCCCCAAGGTCTGGGTGGGAGCCTGGGCCTTGGCGGATGCCCCAGAGCTGCAGCCTGAGCCTGAGGCGCACCTAGCCCCTAACCAGGAGACCAGCCCAGAAACACAGGTATCCAAGGAATGCCCACTTCCGCCAGCCTGGGCTGCATTCCTGCAGCCCCTCCCACAGCAGCCAGGAATTCCTTAGAGTAAACAGCGGGGCGCCCCGCTTCCTGCAGAGCACCAGCACCCCTCCCTTCCCCGCCTCACAGCAGGAGAAAAAGGGACCCTACCTGGCCCAGGTCCAGGGTGACATTGACCTCGTTGTACTCCAGGCCGCGAGACAGCGGTGGGCTCTGCCACCAGCGCTCCGTGCCATCAATGGCGTTGCTCGCGGGGTGTGCCTTGTTGCTGTTGGCGGCTGTGCAGATGTCGCAGTACTGGCCCTGCGGGGATACAGGTAGGGTCAGCAGGGGATGGGGCAAAGGGACGCCTGTCCCTCTGGTCACCCTCCTACCAGGCCCTCAGTCTCTTCGTGCTGGCTTCCACCTCCAACCGCATCCCCTACACCTGCTGGGGTCTACTCCTTCTGGGTTCAGGAGCCCAGGCTCAGAGGGGACAGGTTGTGGACCTGGCAGGATGAACTGGGAGAAAGAGGGAGACGCGATGTAAGTGGGAAAATTAAGCCCAGCCTCTCTGAGGAAGTGGTGTGACCTTCAGGGTAAGGGTATGACACTCCAGGAAGAGCTTCTGCCAGTGCAAAGACCCTGTGGCAATGTAGCTAGAGCCATAGGGGCCAAGTGCTCGCACAAGATGGTGTGAGATGGGAGACAGAAAGAAAGCGGAGCTACAGATGGAAAGATAGTCTGGAGAGGAGGGGTCCTGATGGCCTGAGAGTCAGCTGAGTCAGAAGTCCTCCCTACCCCCACCAACCTACCCCTGGCACATATACCCCCAAGGTTGGTCCTCCAAGGATGGGGGCTGTCTCCAGAGAATTAAGCTTTGGGGACAGGGAAGGTGTGTGGGCGTGGCAGGTGAGGCGCGGGCCGCTTCCCAGCGCCACTTCCAAGCCCTGGGACTGGGCCAAGTCACAGCAATCGTGCAGTCTCAGTGTCCCATCTGCAGAGTGGGGATAATGTTGCACCTGCCTCAAGCCACAGTGGGGATTAACAGATCACACACAGGGCCTGGCAGCTGTTTCTGTTGCAGATCAGCCACCTGCTGGGGGTCTGTCCTCCTGGGGGCAGAGGAAGCCCTAGCAGGGTCCTGGCCTGCTGTCCCTGGTGGAGGAAGGGGAGGTGGAGAGCCCTGGCTGCCAGCCCATGGACTGCCCCCTCCAAGGAAACCAGACCTGCTGTCCCTCCACACACAAAGGCAGCCCTGAAGACATGGCATCCACTGAGGTGCAGTCTAGGAGCCACGGCTGCCCCACCCATCCAAGCTGGTGGGGGGACAGAGATCCCCACCCTCACTCCCAGGCTCTGGCAGGCCCCCCATTAGACTCAGTGCTCCCCAGGCTCCCCTGGCCCTTCTGTGCTATAAGCAGTGCCGGTGATGGGTTGAGGACAGAGCTAAGTGCAGGGCAGGTGTGCACCCACTCCTGCCACCAGAGCCAGAGGGCCCCATAGAGTGGAACAAACACTTGGGGAAACAGCCAGGTAGCACAGTGGAATAAACAAAACAGTCTGACACCTGGCAAGGGGCGGGTCAGCACCTTGGGTGGCCCAGACTAGAGGCCTGCTGAGGAGGTGACATCCAAGTGGAGAGGAGGGAAGGCCACCAAACACAGGGGCCAGGTTTGGGCCAGGGATACCAAATGCCCCGCCCATGGGTCCTGGAGGGTGGCCCATACACCACCCACAAGCAGAAGGCCAGGCCAGTGGGGAACCTTGTGGGCCACACACCAAGCTTCAGTGGAGACCAGCAAACTAGAACCCTGGGCTCCCTCCCAGCGGGTGAGGAGCCCATGTGGCCCAGGGCTCAGGAACAACAACTCCCATTAGTGCTGGCTGGGGGGGGGGGGGGGAGTAGGGTGGGGTGGGGCCTGGGTGCAGGATGAAGGGTCAAGGGTCAAGGGTAAGCTCCAGTCTCCCAGAAACCCAGGAAGTATGTGTTCAGCTCTCACCAGGCAACAGGATGGTCTGAAAAGGGAGGGGGAGGGAAGGCCCTAGTCCCCACTGACTGGGCTCTCAGCAGCCAGCTGGCACAGGTGCCCCCCCATGCCCAGGGCCCCACCAGCCCCTCTGCCAGGCTGCAGCTCACAGAGGACAGGGCTGGGAAACCAGGCTCCCTCCAGCCCTCCGTGCAGAGGTTTCTGCCAGGGGCAGAAGAGAGGGTCTGGTAAGATGTCCCTTCCAGGAACTGGCCCAGCCAGTCCCACTTCCTTTAATGCCCACCTGAGCTTGCCAGGGTGGGAGAACCTGAGGCCCCCTGCCTGCTCCAGCCACACGTTAACTGCCTTCTATCCCATCCCCTGGGGCTAGGAATCTCCAGGGCAAAAGGTCCCCGCCACCTTCAGGCTGTGCTGCTAGGCCCCAGGGCCCCAGTGGCAGGCTGGGCTTCCCAAGATGGGGCACATCCAAGACATCCTGTCCCCAGCACCTCCTCTGTCACATATTGCCCTACGTGGCTGGTCCTATGGTGAGGAGGCATCCCGGTCACAGGGCCCCATCCACCCCAGTAGCCCTAGTGGAGGGCTAAGTGCTTTCTCTCCAGGTTTTCAAAGGGACTCTACACGCTGTTGCTTCCTAACCAGGTGAGGTGGGCGTGGCACTGTGTCCATTCCACAAATAAGCAGCTTGAGGCTCACCCAGGAAGCCCCCAGTTCTGGAGAGGCAGAGACTGGCTGTGAGGCCCAGCAGCCAGGCTCCCAGGTTGGGCCTTTAAACCCACAGAGGCGGCGGCAGCCAGAGAGAGCAGATAGCACTGCAGAGCACCCGGCCTCGGAAAGCGAGGTCAGGGAAGAATGGACTGGGGCCTCCTTGGCTAAAGAGGCAGACTCCTAACTAGGCAACAAGGAGGGGACCGGGGGCTAGGCCAGGCCCCCTATATCTGCTGAGTGTCCTAGGGGCCCAGCCCTAACAGGGGATGGGGTCCCCTGCCAGGAGACAGCAGCTTCCCACCCCTCAGCCCCAATGACTCCTTTAGCTGTGCAACTTTGAGCAGGTGTCTGAACCATTCCCAGCCTCAGTTTCCCTATCTGAGCTGCCACCCTCACCACGGAGGACTGCACTAGGCTTGGGGAGAGGGGAAGCAAGCCTCCTCTCTCTCCTTCCTCCCCACAGTAGCCCAAGGGTGGGGTGGGTGGGGTGGGAGGAAGCGCCCAGCCCAGGCTCCCTGTGCACCTCCGCCACGGCCCCAGCCAACCTTCCCGGCCACTCTCCACCTTCCTAGCCTCTCCTCCAGGAAGGTGAGGCAGGTCGCTGGAGGAGGAGGCTCAGGTTACCCCGGCTCTGGGGCCCGGGAATCCAATGGGGCTGGGTTAGTGGTGTGGCATAGGGTGGGCTGCTGGGGCGCTGTGGGGCAGATCTGGGTCCTCAAAGCTTCGACGAAGTCCTGAGGATCTGGACAGCCTTGCTCTCCTGGCCAGTGCTCCCGCAAAGCCCACTTGCCGGCTCGGATCTCAGAGGACTGGGGGAGCCTGAAGCCAGGATCCCCCCAGGCTGGTCAGAGAGGCGGCCTCTGACCCCCAGGTGTTACTAGTCCCGGTTAAAACCAGGAGTGCTTGCCTTTTCCCACTTCCAGAGTCCCACCGAGCTCCCGACCCCGGTCGGGTCGCTGCAACCCTTGGCGGCCGGCAGGGAAGGCGCCGGGCCCTCTCGCCTTCGCCGTCCCCATCCGGAGGCCAGCAGGTTCCAGCCTGTCCCGGGGGAAGGCGGAGTCGCCGGCCCCCTCCTCACGGGCCGCCGGCGCCCACGCCAAATCCCGCCCTCGCCGGGATCCCGGACTTGGGGCTCCAGGGACTGGGCAGCAGACCTTCCCGCCCAGGTCAGCGCCACTGAACTGGACCGGCGCCCGCAGCCCCCGGGTCCGCGGCGGGGACACTTCACGGACTCTTCCAGGAGGACGCGCAGTGTCCCCGCCGGGCCTGAGCGCTGGGTTAGGGGGTCCCTCCTGGTACCCCAGGAGGCGGAACCCGCGGGTCCGGACGTGAGAGCTGGTACCCGGGCTCTCCCGGCCGCGGCACTCCCCGGGAGTCGCGCTGGACTCCGAGCGCGAGCCCGATCGATCCCCGGCTCCCGGGTCCGAGCGCTCCGGGACGCCCGTCCCCGGCCCGCGCGCACCTGTATGGTCTGGCTGGGGTCCCCGCCGGCCACGGGGCCGCCCACCAGCTTGCAGTAGAGGTCCTCGGTGGGGCGCGGGGGCCCGCGCGCCGGGGCCTCCTCGCCGCAGGTCGCGGACGCGGCGATGCGCGCGCCCTCGGCCAGGTTGAAGTAGGGCGGGTGCAGGCTGAAGCCGCCGTCGCCCGGGGCCCGCGCCCGCGCCGCGCCCAGCAGCGCCAGCCCGGCCAGCAGCAGCCGCGCCGGGCCCCGCGGGTCGCCCGCGCACCGTGCGCTCCCCGCGCGGAACGGGGCGCCGCGCTTCGCCATTTTCCGGCTCGCGGCCGCGTCTCCGCGTTCCAGAGACTGCGAGCCGCGGGAGCCGGGATCCGAGCTCAGCTCGCCCCGCCCGCCCGCGGACGTCAGGCCCCGCCCAGGCCCGCCCGGGAGCCCGCGCCCCGCGCCCCGGGGGAGGGGTGGGGGAGGGGGAGGGGCCCCGGGCCGCCTTAACTCTTCAGACCCCGGCCGCCCGGAAGGGCACCTGCTGGCCCCTGGCCCGGCGCGGAGCGCCACGGACGCCGCCGCGTCTCCACGGTCCTTCGTGGGACCCTCGCACTCCCCCCAGCCCTCAGGCCCCAGCGCACCGGCTTGGCCCCTCCTCCCAGCCCCGCGGCTCCCCTCTTTGTCTCCCTAACTTCTGGCACCTGTAGATGCCAGCGACCCGTCCCACCTCCAAGTCGCGGCATTCTGGTGGAAGGGGGGGAAGTGCGTTTGTGGTGCGCAGTGTGGCCGTTGAGGGGCCCGCCCGCCGGAGGCACAGTAAGAGCCCATTTGGGGACCCTCCCCCCACACACACTCACTTCCCGGGGGAGCGGGTCAGATTTATCCCTTCTGGCTACTGCCTGCCTTAGTTGGACGTAAAAACATTGTACTCTTGAATCGGGGAGAGGCCTCGGGATGCTCAAGGCCCCATGGGTCAGACTGGCTCCAGGAAAGAAACTTCTGGCTCCGCTTTCCCATCTATTGGTGCCCTCGTGTGCCCAGAGCACCTGCGGGCCTGGACAGGTGCGCAGGGCCACACCCCTGCCAGGAAAGGCTCCAGCACCCTGGGGAAGCAGCTCGGACTTAGCTGCCGAGCACAGGACTGGGTCCTTCGTGCCTGTTTTGGGGCACCTTGGGCCCTTGGGTCTCCTCCCCTTGTGTCCGGGGCCAAACTGGCTTGAGGAAAGCCCTGGGGATGGAGGTGGGGCCGCAGCTGCGGGGCTGGCAGGTCCCCCAGCCTCTGAGCGTGGCCAGCTGGGTCCTGCTCCCACGTGACCCGTGGGGCTCCCATCTCCAGGGACTTCCTGGACAGCCGGGGGCTAGTAGGTTCGTGGGTACTGGCCAACAGGACCTGGTGGGGGTCTCGAGCTCGCAGCTCTTATCAGAAGGCTGTAGCCTGGGCACATCTTCCCGGCAGCCGGCAAATCTCAAACCCCAAGGCGCTGGGCGGCTCTCTTCGGAGTTGGGAAAGCGCTGAGGGATAAATCGCCCTCCTCGACTCCTTCCACTTCCCTCCCCCGAAATTCCTAACTTCAGGGTTAGTTCTCCAACCTAAGGGAGGGGCGGAGGCGGCAGTCCCGTTCCTTGGGGGAGGGGCAGCCCGAAGGTGGGTGGGAGACATCCAGGAATCCCAGGGTTGCTAGAGTTGATTTATGACCTGGGGGAGGGACAGCTGGGGCAGCAGCAGCCCCAAAATGGGTGACCGGCCAGCCCTGCCCGCCTTGTTTCCTGGAGGTCCTCCCCACCACGCACACAGGGCAGTGTGCTCTGGCCCTGGCCCCCTGGATAGCTACTAGGGGATGGTGACAGCCTGGAGGACCACAGGCTGAGACGTTCTCTCCCCCAGAGGCTGGCTAGGCTCCTGAGAACCTGCTTGTTTTCTCACAGTCACTTTAGGGAAGGTCCTCGGTGCAGAGGTTGGGCCAAGGGCCCACTGAGCCCCCTTGCGGCCAGGTCAGGCCAGTTCAAGACTGCCTTCCCAGGGCACTGGCTGGGCAGGAGGAGGGGTGGCTGCCTGGGAATGTGCTGAGTCAGCCAGGGCCTGGCACCCAGAGGGTTAATCCCAGGCTCACTGCTTCCCGGCGGGCGACAGCTGCCCGGGGAGCAACTGGCCGGTGGCAGGAGTGAGTGCAGTGGGCAGAGGCAGAGTGGCACCAGGGCTGGTACGGCATCCACTCTGCCCCACCTCTCTGTGTTGCACTGGGGAGGAGGCAGCAGGTGGGCAGTGGGCGCAGGGAGGTGGCAGGGGTGGGGATTTGTCCCCCTGCACACCCTTGCCCCTGCTGACTGGTCAGGCTCCCAGGGCCAGTGAGCAGCTCTTCCTGTCTCCCTGTGACTTGAGACAATCCAGCCACCACTCCCTCTTCCATGTGGGGAAGCCCAGTCACGAGGACAGAGTCCAGCCCACAGGTCAGTGAGAGGCGTGGTCGGTCAGGCTAGGGCATCCCCCCAACTCCCCTAAGGTGGCCTCCTTACCCCAGACCCACAGACAAGGGATGTCCAGTTGGGAGTAGGGGCCGGGAAAGGGCACTTGGGAAGCAGCTTGTTCTCTGTCCTCCCTGGCTCTGCCACCTTTTTGCTGGACAACCCACGGTCCCTACTCAGTCCCGGCCTCAGGGCGCCAAGAGCCTGGGAGCCATGGAGAGTGGCCGTCCTGGCAGGGAAGGGGTCTGGCCGATGGTCCCTAGCCTTGCTAGGGTCCTGGCTGACGGTCCTCCCGGTGCCACAAAGGGGCAGCTGAGGGGACAGTGCAGCCCGGGCGCCTGACTCAGATGGACCTGGCCTTGGCCTCCGGGGATTGGGGCTGTGCCGGGGACACAGGCTGCTTCTCACTCCTCAGTCTACAGAGTGACTGCAGAGATTATGCACCAACCTTCCCGCACTCGAGGCTCCAAGCAATGCTCCCCGGTGCGGTGTGTGGGCTCTGGAATCAATCGGGGCGCCCACTGCTTCCTGCTGTGCATTGCAGCCCCCACACACCGGCAGCAGGTTAGGACTAGCACCAGCACCGAGGGCTATCCCAGGGCTCTGACTTTGAACCGGGATGTTTGCACCTGGGCAAAGGGTCTGGGAGACTGGAGCCACATCCTTTTTGTCAGGGCTGCCCCCTCATCCTTCCAGGGAGCCAGAGTGACAATTGCTATCCAGGTCCATGGGGCAGAGGAACCGGGAGCCAGCACGGAGCTGATTCTGGCAGCCGCTGGGGGTGTGCTCAGTGCTGTCCTCAAAGAGGAGGGCAGGCTTGCAGGACACCAGGAGGACCCTCAGCTAGACCTCTTACCGGGCTCCTGAGCCCAGTGGGGCAGCGAGAGCCGTTGGCCTTGCTGGCCACTGCTTGGTCAAAAACTGCACCGCGGCCCTTAGCTGACATTGCTACTTGTGGGGGAAGCATGGGAGCTGGGGCTGGAGGTTGAGGATGAGACCAGCCAGAGACCCCAGGGCAGCTGCCCGTGCACAGCCTCCCAAGGATCCCAGGCTCCTGCCTTCAGGAGAGGCGAGGACGAGGGTGGGGCCTGAGCAGCTGCCTGCCCCTGCCTGCCGTGGGGCTTCACTCACAGGGCACAGACCCTCTGCACTACCTGCCCAGGAGCCCTCGGCCGGCTCCAGGTTTACCCGTCTACCTTAGCTTTTGTTCTTTATGTTGTTTTCTCTTTTTTGAGACAGAGTCTCCCCATGTAGTTCAGGCTGGCCTTGAACTCACTATGTAGCCCAGGCTGGACTCAAATTCCCAGCAATCCTCCTGCTTCAGCCTCTGTAGTACTGGGGCTACAGAAGTGTGCCAACACACCTAGCTCATATTTCTGTTTCTTTCTTCTTTTCCTTCTCCTTCTCCTCTTCCTTCTCGCCTCCTCCTTCTTATCTCTGGCCCTGGCTCCAGTTCCTTCTCCTCCTTTTCAGTACTGGAGAATGGACCAACCCAGGACCTTTGCACTGACGGGGTCTGAGTGTTGCCTTCCTCTAGCTGAGCTCTAACTGGCCACTCTCTGGCCTCCAACTCCCAGAGTGCTGGGCTTAGAGGTATGGGTCACTGTGTTCAGCGTCTCATTGCCTTCAAAGCCTTGGCTCTAGGCATCGTGCTGAGACCCCGGCCCCACTTGTCCACTGTCTTATTACAGAGGCCGAATCCAGGGCTCAAGCCATCGTCTGTCCAGGTGGAGAGTGGCCTGTGCCTGCCCTGCCCACAGCAGCCTCAGCAGGCCTGGCCAGGACAGCTGCCATGGTGCCAGTCAAGGCTGGGTGGCTGGACAGGTGGCTCCAGGTACGAACAGAGCGAGGTGACCCGGCTGTGCTGTCCTCTCCACAGGAATTCCCAGGCTCTCTCCCACCTGGCTTTCTTCCCTGTGAGCTTCATCTCGGCTGGACAGAGCGGCAGGCCACGCCTGCACACGTGTAGCTGGGCGCCCACATGCATGTGCTCAGGGGGCCTCATCGCTGTGATGGTCAGAACCAGAAGCCCAGACGTTCCCCTGCTCCAGCCTTAGCTTGTTTGTCTGAATGTAGGCGCCTACCACCCAGTTGCTTGTGAAATTCGCCATGAGCCGAGACCTGGAAGGGACCTTGTCTTTGTCAGGCTGTCCTGAACCCCGGCTGGGTGCTGGGTGCTGGGAACTGGGAACCGGCCCTGGGCTGGCTGAGGAAGACTGCTGGACCTTCCCGGGCCCAAGGTGCACCCCTCCTCCTAGGACCAAAGCCAGGCACTCTCTGCAGCCCCCTACTTTCCAGCTGCCCCAGCCTGTACCCTCTCCCACCTCTCTTGTTGGGGATCCGGCCTCAGCCTTGTTATCCAGAGACAGGGCTTCGGGGGCCCCTCCCTGATGGTCCCCTTGAGTCCACCTGGCCTGGCTGTTTGGAGCTCTGTCCACCCTTCAGGCTTCACTCTGAGCTGTCTCCTTCTCTGTTGTTTGTGCCCTGTGGCAGAGCAGGCTGGGAGTTAAGCGGCAGAGCGAGCCTCTCCCTCAGGCCCAGACAAGAATAGTTCAAGGGAGGCTCCCAGCCTCTCAGCGTTGTCCCCAAATTCCTGCCCTTCTGTCCTCAAACTTGCTTCCCAGCAGGCCTGTAAACTAGCAGCACCCCCAGCAGCAGGCCGTGCAGATGGGGGGGTGCAAAGAGGAGCTGTGCTCAGGTGAGGCATCCCCCCCTTCCACCTCCGCTGCCCACAGTCCTCCAGGACCCAGCCCTCGCCCGAGGTGTGGACCCCAACAAGAAACGGCCAACCTCCCTGGCCCACAGCTGGTGGGGAGGGGATGAGTGGCCCGGAGCCCTGGACACAGACACAGAAAGGATCTGGTTCTGGCAGGGACCAGGCTCCTTTTAGGACCCCAACCCCATCAGGGTGCTG